CAGACCCAGTATGTCATCTCTGTGCTGCAGGAGGAGGAGGCAGCACATGGCATCCTACCCCCCCTTTCGAGAGTAGTGGTTCAGCCCTCTGGGGCAAGGCGGGAGCAGAGGGGCACCGATCAGTCCCACAGCAGGACTGTGCAGAGGAGTAGTTGTAATCAACTTCTATTCAACTTGTAATCTTCGATTGTGGTGATGGGAACACACAGAGCCTGCTGTCTTTTGGAAACCAGGCAATTCTTTCAAGTATTCTTTCTGGGCTCCTTGTATTGTTCATACATCTTTGTGACTCTTCCAAGTAAAATGTGGGGGTTTTTTCACAGATAGAACCAGTGGAAATCTGTCGATGGCCTCAGCAAGTACCAGCATGACCGAAAGATGTCCCGAGAACACGGTGTGCTTGGCTTTTCTTAATAAATATGTGTTCTATATAAAATATTTATTCATTTATTCACAATCACATATTCATTTGTTCACAATAATTTAATTGTGAAATTTTAAGTATTTGGCAATTAATGAATTGCTTTTTTTTAAGTGCCGTGAACTTGATTTTGAAGGGGTGATCAGTTCTAATACTTGAATTTTGGCCTTTGTGTTGCCCATTCATTCCTGCCCAGAGTGAGCGAGGTGTCAAAAAAGGCAAACAGGAGTTCCTGCTCAGATTGTTTTAAGGAGCTGATTATTTGCCTTTCTCCTTCCTGTTTTTGCAAGGACAAAAAAACCAACCAAAAATAAAAATCAACTTGTTGAAAATATATGGTTGAGCAGCTAGGTATTAGATTTTATACTTCAGTCTTTTAAAATGAATAATCTCACCGCTATTAAAAGAGGAAAAACTAAAATTATAATGGCCACTTTTAGCATTGTTTAGCAGACCTGTCTATCATGACTTCATACATCTGCAAGTAAATAGTACCGTGTGGCCTCTAGTTTTCCTGTTGTAAAAAGATATCTACAGCTTCAGAATACTCAGCTACAGAAAATATGAAAATCTACTTCAATGGTGAAAACATATGGTTTGCTTTTGTGGATTTCAGGGTTTGTTATTAATGTCTGGTGTAAGAACAAAATAAAGAGATTTAATCCAGCTATAGGACTGTTTGGTATTGAATAATATATAGTCTACTCTTTTTCTGGGCTTTCCCTGATGCACTTTTGGAAGTGTAAAGTATATGTTAAGGCTGCCAGATTCATGCCAGGATGTTTAATGCTGTGAATGCTTGTTACAGAGTTCTAGTGTGTTTTGCTGGGAGTTTAGGAGCTCCTGGAGACAGCCCTGTGTGGTGAAAGCCTCTGAGCATGAGAAGGACATGTAGGAAAAAACCACAAAGTACTGATTGCACTGAGCTGTCCTGCAACTTGCCTCTTAGAGTAACAATAATCTCTTGTGCAGCTCTGTCCTTCAGGCTACTCCTACAGTAAAGCATACTTTCTGTTGAAAAAGAAGTTTGTCAGCATGACTTTAGAGCAGAAATTAGAACTGAAACAGTGAGAGTGAGATAGCCTCATGGCTACATTCTCATTAGCAAAAGCAAAGTGGAAACCATGAAGTCAAAAAATTTGATGTGAGTGGCCTATTAGACCAGTACGTGGCTGCCAGTGTGTCTGAGAGAAGCCTATGCCTTTTCATGTTTGTTTTAGGGGGGTAATACGGTGGAGCAGTTCAGAATACAGGGACTGAAAACATCAAAAGACTGGCAAAACATGAAAGCTTAGAATCTTACACACAAGATGTTTTTTCACTGTAAAATCTTGAAAAAGCCAAAACTTTTGAAAAGCAGAGTAGTGCAAGTCAGCACCAAATTCAGTAGCATAAACAAGGCATCAATAAAAATTGCATGCATTATCAAACATTTCTTCATTGCTGAAATTGTGGTTTGTGTAACCTCAATATGCAAGGACAGGGCCAGTAATCCAAGTCTTTGAAGCCAGGAACTTCTTGATGAGTACTGAAAATGTGACATAAGAATGATCCAGTACTACATCACTGGGTTTTTTTTGGTTTTTTTCCCCAGGAAAAAATGTAGCAGAAATCTTCAGTGCAGTAATGAAACTCCTTCAATGCTCTTGAAAATACTGGCATTGGGAAGTTTCATGCAATGAAATGTGCAAATCTACTTAAGCAATGTAAAAAACACAGACACACCTAATGTTTTACCACTGCTGCTTACAGAAAATGAACCTGTGAAGTCTATCCAGACCTTTGGCACTACGGACACTGAATTTTTTGCAAGGCTGAGGAGTAAGGTGGGCACTCTTCGTATGAACCTGTTGGACACCGGGAGGAGAAATGTATGTGTAATCCATTATTAGTAATGTATATAATATCAGGGCTGCTGCTTGGTTTTCAACATAAAATTACTAAATCTTGTCTTTCTATTATTAGTGTTCACTCAAACTGACGTATAATATGTCACAGTCATACTGTATGCATGAGTTAGTACAAAACATTCTGTTGAACCCCATCATCCAGAAAGCATTATTACTGCCACCAGCTTGTAAATAGTATCTGAACTCTTGATTAGGTGAGCAAAGAGCTCCTATTGCTTGTAGGCTTTTTAAAAATTAGATTTGCACACTCCAGTTTTTCACTTTTTTCCCAAAGAGATGAGGGGCAAGCTGATCCTTGTAATTTTGTATCAGTCCCACAGATTTAGAGGATGTTACTGAAAACAGTTACGTGTTACCATATGTCCAGTCTCACAATGTGTTTACTTTTTTTCCCCAGGAAGAATTGTTAGAACCAGCCTGAGACCAACTCGCTGTGCAGCACTAAGCCATAAGAAACAAAAAACTGTTTAAAAGATGGACTATTAAGCCTGCATGTAGTAACACAAGTCACTTTTAACTTACTGGGGCAGTGTCTGGTAATGTTTATGTAGACAAAAAAATGAAGATTCATGTTTCTGTTCTTAGAATTTCTACCTTTCCCAAGCTATAATAGCATTTGCTTCTGTTTGACAGTCCTGACTTCCTCTGAATTATTGTTGGGATACTAATGTACCCCTTTGGACTCAACAAACTCTGGGAGCTGCCAAGTGGTTGGGATGTAAAACCATTATAGTACTCAGAGATAGGGTTAGCTGAGATTTGTATTGTGGTGAGCAAAAGTAGAAATTCAAATGTAGCAAACCTGGGTTTAAAAATAGCAGTAAAGGTATCTCTACAACATGGAAAGCTGTAATCTTGGCTTATTACTACCTTGATCAGCTCTGTAATATGGTACTCAACTAAACTTGAAGTTTAGTAATATGGTAATATGGTACTCAACTAATACTCTTGAGACAGCAACTGGAAATGCTGCTTGGTTTTTTAGGAAGACAACATAAAAAAGAGCAAATGCTGAAATTGTTTATCTTCCAATGTCTGATTTTTCAGTATTGAATGTAGCACATTATTAATACTAAGTCTAAGTTCATTTTTGGTTTGTCAAGAAGGAAGGAGGTTTAGACAAGAGTAATTAATTTTTATGATCCAACATGTAATTACTGGATGCACTTGAAAGTTTAGGGTTTCTGTTAGGGATTACATTCCCTGAGGATACCATCTGTTCACGAGTCTTTGTTCTTAGAAGTATAAGACTGACAGGAGTAGCTTCTAAGATTTTACACAAACGAACAAAAAACACAACAAAAAAACTCTAGAGAGCAACAGCTAATGCCAGGTTTTGATGATGGATACCTAAAATGTTAATTACCTTCCAACAGGAAAAAATGTAGAACCTTAAGCTTCAGTGTGTAATACAGGTTTCATTGTGGGGTGGAAAGTGAAAAAAAGTGAGGTAGAGGGAGGAATAGGTGGGTGTAAGGGTCACAGATTACTAAAATAGTAATGTTGGTAAACATGAAATATTGTGTTAAGCATTAGGACTGCCTTTGATTTTGTATGAGTGGCTAACTGGATTGTACCCTTGAATAAAATGCCAGACTACTTATTTATTTTTCTTTTCCTCCTTCCTCTGTTTTACCTGAATACAGTGTCTGACCAGTTGTTGGAGTTGGTAGTATTAAACAGTAAAAGTGAGAGCAGATTCTGAGGTGGTTTTAAGAGAGCAAGAGAACAAAGATCTGTGAGCTAGGTGTTGTACCAACCCTCCTTCCTGTTATATGCCTCCAGCCCTCTCTGGAAGAGGGCTCTCCATACCAGAAGCTGCAAATCAGAACTTTTGAGAGGTGTGCACAGAAAGAAAACTGCCTTGTTCCAAATTACTCTTCGCGTTGTAACACCCTGCACCTAAGATTAAGACTTGCTCTGTTAAATGGAAACAGTCTATCTGTGGGGGCATTCTTGAACATAAATCCATTGCCCCTTCTGCCCAGCAAAGGGGCTCATTTGTAGTAAATTTAATGGTAGTAGTTTATGAAGAATGTGAAGTACATTCTGGTAGCCTCACTGAGAAAATACATGCACAGTTGTAGCTGGTTTTGAGATTTTAACATTGCAGCAAGTGAAGTGTATCATTTACATAGTGACCAGCTGGGAGGGCAGTGGTTTTCTTCACTCTTGTATTGGGTCTGGTAGAGAGGGAGTTAATTTTCCCTGCACCAGCCCTCGTAGTGCTTGGCTCTGTATTGGCAGCTAGAATGGTGTTGATAACCAGTGTTTTGGCTACTGCATCAAGGCTGTGTCTTCAACATTCTCCCCTCAGTAGGCTGGGGGTGGGCAAAATCTTGGGAGGGGGCAAGATCTTGTTTGGGACAGCTGACCAAAGGGATATTCCAAACCATAGGAGTCTGCTCAGCAACAAAAGCTAAAGAGAAAGGATAAGGAAGGGGGAAGAGGGGCATTAATTCTTATGATGTTCCTATTCTGGAGCAATCTACTATGTGTACTGGAAGTCCCAGAAAGTGGATGGATGTCATGTTCTGATGGGAAGTAGAAAGCAAATCTTTTGGGTTTGTTTGTTGTTCTTTTGTTTGGTTGGGGTTTTTTTTCCCCATCTCCATGTGCCTTTTGCTTTTGTTTTATTAAACTGCCTTTATCTTGACCCACAAGGTTTCTTTACATCTGATTTTCTCTCCCCTCCCCCATCCTGCTAAGGAGGGGAAGTGATAGAGCAGCTTCACAGGCACCTGGTGTCCAGCCGAGGCCAACCCACCACAACTCTTACTCAGGAGACAAATAGAGGGAGAAAACAGGCACATTAAGGAGAGGGTGTCTGTGTGTTTGGTTTGACAGCTTACTCTGCTGTTGCTTTTCTCTGATTTTTTGGTAAGGAAACAGTAGTGTGGATATACACTGGAAATATAAAACTTGGGCTGACAAATTCCTGCTATGAGGACAAATACTTAATCTGAAGTAACGGTATCCTCAAGTGGATTTTAATCAGTACTACATCTGTTTTTACCAGATGGTGGTGTCAAATGAATCTGTGTTTCCGAAGGCTTTGTGCCTTTGTGTAACGTAAATAACACACACAGGCAACCATGGCATGCCCTAAAAATTCAAGTTTTACTTAACTTTTAAATAACCTGGACACGAGTATTGACACAGTCATCTATCAACCTCAGTTTAAAATAAAGCACACAGTTGCTTCATGAATACTTAATGTACATAGAACATATGCATCACATTGATATGTTTATGTATGTTGTTTTCAAACATCTTTCTAGGGAGTTTTGAATTAAACAGACCTTCCCAAAAGAAAACGCACTATTTATTCAGTTCATTATTCACCTGCATAAAGGTAATGGATTTGGCAACTTAAATGGTATTGACTTTTTTTTCCAACCAACATGTTCAATATAATGAACTTGTTTAGAATACAAGTTGCAAGTGATGCTGGTAAATAGGTGAAGTGTAGAAAACAGCAGGTCAAGAGTAGCCCCTAATGAAAGAAACCAGCTAACTAAGCAAAGGAACCAATATGAGATATACAAAAATGCTTTTTTGTTGTGGTTGCAAGCCCTCTTATTGTATAAAACACGTTTCACAAAAGGTTTATCTATGTTGTAGTTGTTGCTAATTATTGAGAGAGTTCTGTAACTTACCAGTGCTTAGCACTTAGAGATGTCTCAGAAGAGATAAATGCAGAGGCACAAAGTTATATTTGTCAGCCTGAGATCAATTCAGTAGAATTAGGATGAGAATATCTCAAATATCAGTCCTTTTCGTCCAAATGAGTAGAGGTCTGTGTAGCATCAAACCCAGGGTATATTTTGCCTGACACAGTTATGCGGCTCGTGTCTTTTGCCTGACTCTTTACCTGACCCATCAGGAGGTACAAGCATTTTGGACTGACATCCAAACTCCAGATCTGAAAATCCATGCCTCTAGGCAGTGAAAGCCCCAAGAGTGCTGGGGAAGGGTAGCAACAGTGGAAAGGTAAGGTGTAGCTCAGAGCTGTAAGAGGTCAGTCGCTGGAGTAGCGCTGGTTTAGATCTACAAAGCACAGCTGTGACACAATAAATGCTTTCAGTGATTGATCACTTGTAGGTGTCTCACAACAATAAAAAAATCATAAAAAGGGTGCCTTTCCTCAAATGACAGGAGAAGAAGCTTAAAGGGAAAGGAGGCTCACACATATGGAAGAAATTCCCTTTTCTGTTCTATTAGCTGACAATGATGTCCCAAGTTTTGCCTTGTTTTGGCACAGACAATGTGTAATACAGGCATTATATGCTTAATCTTTCCTTTGTGGATACAAAACTGTATTGTAGTGCCCTAGACTGACATTAGACTTGCTAAAACCTGCTTCCTACATAGTCTCATTGAAGAGAAGACAGCTTGCTCTGTAAATTTCTCATTTAAATGCAAAGAAGTTGGCTTGATTACAAAACAATTCTCGACTTGAGAATTGAAACTTTTCACTATTACACTAGACAGAAGCCTATTTTATGACGTAGTGGAGTAAGTAAAATGCCACACACTTGGCTGATGGTATCCAGCAATAACACACAAAAGCCCACAGGCAGATGACAACATACAGGAAAACATGAGATTGGATATAAACTTTAGAAGTAATTTTCTTCTTCATCAATATTTGAAGATTGACAAGATATGGACACCATGTACAGATAATTCTCAAATAGTAACAACACATAGCTGCTGAAATACATATGTGCTACTTGCCTGTGCCTGAGTAGGGATTGCAAACTAACAGTAATGATTTAGAAAGCAGCAAACTACAAGCAAGTGTATAATGCTGCAGCTTGGAACACTTTCTGGAAGAAACAAGGAGTGACTTTCATTGCAGACATTGTAACCATGCCATATTTCAGTGGTCTTCCGAAAGATTGTGATGCTCTTGATTAAGCGATGGGCTTGTGGGGGTTTTTTTGGTGGTTTTTTGGGGGGGTTGGGGTGGGGTTTTTTCTTTTTGTTTTGTTTGTGCTTTTTTTAACTGTTGTTTGTGAGAATACTACACAAGATCATAAATAGATCCTAAAGGATCACTTTAAGTTGGAGCAATGACAATAAAACCATTTTACAGACTTAAAAAAAAATGAGCGAATACATTAAGGCAAGCCCAATGATGTTCTAGGATTAAATCTGTAGTAAATTCGGAAAATTCTGAAGAACCTCCATGATAACAGAATTTTTACCACAGAGGACTTTTCACTCTTTCCTTCCCTTAGATTTGTTCACTGAGGCTGAAGAAGCAGAACTGTCCAAAGTAAGTGATCAAAGAACAGTATTTATTGAGCAAATCCGTCTTCCCTGGCAGACTGCAGCATTTCCCAACCTGCGGACCAATCTATACTGTGATAGGAATACAAGAACTGTACGGCTACTGCCATGGCTAGCAACATCCACCTGGCCACCTCAGATCATGAAACAAAAAAGGATCAAAAAATGAAGTGGAAAATAAAACACATCATACAAGGCTTCACTTATTAGTTTTGCTAGTTCAAATGTGTATTGGTAATCCCTTATGCTTACTCCAGTTCTCAAACAGTATTGCTTTCCTGAAAGGGCTGCAGTTCCCTGGTACAATGTTGCTCAGGCTACAAGATCACTGTAAATCACTGTAGGTCATGGGAGTTGAGTGTAAGGAGGATAGATGTAGAAAGGCACGAGCTACTAAAGTCATTTACAATGCTGTTTGACAAATTCAGTATTTAGTTTGAGGATTACACTTAGCAAAAATTACAAAAAAACAAAGACTTTGCTAAGCTGCTTAGAAGTTCGCAGCACCAGAAGGCTCATACATGTGCTGACTGTGGACAAATGGGAGGCAGAGGAATGACTTTCAGATATTTGTACAGAGTGATAGGACAAGAGAAGAGCCAGGCATCACTTCAGATACATACTGGCAGATAACCCACTCAATGTGCAGCATCACTGAAATTTAGTATTCCTACCATGACAATAGAAAAAAACAATTGTAGTTATCATACCTGAAATACTGCCTTTGTCATTTTAACGTAGTAGAAATGGCTCAGAGAAAAGTGACAGATTATTTTATATGATAGGAGATTAAGGCAGATTTTGCTAATCTAGTTAAAAACTAAAATTTAAAAAGGCTATTTCCTAGTTGTCTTAAATACTACTCCACAAGTTTCATTTAACCAGCACTTAAGTGCCTTGCTAAGCAGTTCTTGATACAGTGGGTCAGTACATATTCTCCAGTTTGTTTCCAGTGTGCTTTACTATAAGTTGGTAAATGTATTTCTACACTATGGAATGTTCAATTAAATAGTCCCTCTACATAAAAGGACATTCAAAATTTAGAACACTTAAAACTGCCAAGGGAAAGTAAATCTGTATCATCTATGGAACTCACTGCTGCAGAGTGTTACTGAGTCTGTTATTTTTGATTCAAAATCTGTAATAAAAATATGACATCTGTTATTGTGCTAGGCTAAAACAAACCTTGTAAGAGCTATCAGTACTTATGTCTCAGGACATAAGTTGATCCCCATATGAAATCATGAAGATAATTCTCCCCATATCACACTGTATTGCACAATCGACCAAAAATATGACTGTTTTACTTATCTTGAAGAATCTGGTCCTGATCATGTCAATTAACAGTCACTTTTTGGAACAAGGCTATTCACTTACAGAGCAGACCATGAAGCCTGTTTTGTTGCAGCAATTTTTTTTTCTTTTTCTTTTCTTTTTTTTTTTTTCATTTTTTGGAAATGTAACTGCTGATCATTCAGTTTTACTAGGACTTTTCTTTTTGGTTGTCTACCAGGCAGCTTCTCCTCAATCAGTCACATCACTAGAATGTGATATCCAGTCAGTGATAAAAGCATTGCTTGGTCTTCCCAGTAAGAAGGCTTCACTTCCAGGTGTCCTGAAGAAATTACTACCATGTCGATGTCAGTTCCTTCCCTTGCACATATAAACAAATTCTCAGCTTCAAACACTAAAATCCATGCACCATCTTCAATTCACCAGTCAAGTCTCCACCTTGAAGCGTGACACCTGTACAGTTTTTATGATCTTGGTGGTGGGCTTTCCATCAACATTATTAGGGGATGGTTGAGATGTTTCTTCCATTAGACTGTCTTTAGATCCGTTCAGTCTCTGAAAAGAGCAAATTAAACATGTTGAAAAAGTTTTGAGGAATTTCAATACTATATTTTGCCAACTATCGCTATGAAAGCCTTAGGCTATGGATACAGTAATTTACATATATATATATATATACACACACGCCACGAATATTGAAGTCTCTACATTTATTTGATCAAACAGAACATTTTCTCCCTCTTGCCTCCTGCCAGCTGCTGCCCCTCTGTGCTATACTGCCCATTCAGGAAATGCCATAATTAATTATTTGATATTTAGCAAAACACTGCAAGCAAACACTCACAAGGAATTAATGGCCACTGTTGTGAGGGGGCCTGGGGCAGAGGGAAAAGAGAGCTGTTTATAGACACTGAACATTTTAACCTTAATTCCTTATAAGGCATGTATTTAAGCCACATGTTATTGGATAGGAATGGAAATAAGACAATGTGCATTTTGAACAGAACGAGTTACCTATTTCCACAGAGCATGTAAATGTGCTTAGCCTTAAGTAACCCAACTTCCCCATCACTGTTGGAGCAAGTCCTTACAGAAACATCAAGGACAGCTCATCTTTTTCAGTTTCCATCATATGCAGGAATTAGAAGTATCATTGAACTTAATTCCTATCAAACAGGCATTGTGTTAACTAGTCTTAATGTGAAAAATACCTGTTTATTGTTTTAAAATCGTACAAGCTTAAATTATTCTAATTGCTTACAAGATAAAATAGGACATATTTTGCTAGTTGTATTTTGTGCAGTTTCCACACTACATACAGAATCAGCATGCAGTTTTGGTATATCCACATGCTAGATGAACAGACTTGATGACTGGTATGGGAAGTTAGGTATCTGGAATTCTCCCTTCCATGTTCTGGTTTTCCTTTTGCGTGCCCACCTGCAAGTGCTTTTGAATAGAATTCGCTTCTCACATTTGAAGCTCAACAAAACTATCACAGAAGAGAGATAGAGTAGTATAATATATGATGAAAGATAGTGATTGCATCTAGAAAAGACACATTCTGTCCTTTTTAGATAACCTAATAACCTAAAAAAATATTCAGTATTTGAGGAGGGGAAAAAAAAGGAAAAAGAAAAAAATGCTTCAAGCCCAAGCAACAAAACTCTAAGAAGACCTCTAAAAGAGGTGAAAAAATGATAGCAGGTTGTGATTATATCTGCATCACAAGCCCATCTGCATAGTTTAAGAAGTTTTGAAATTAAGTTCTCCTTCTATGAAGAGCAGAGTATCATCTTAAGAATGTATGAAACTCAAGCTGGAAAAGAGTTCTCCAGCAGTAGAAGCAGATATTCACAGGGGCATATGCTACAGAACTACATGTATTTTGAAATATCAAGAAACTGTAAATAAAATCAAACTGCTGCTGAAAAAAATCACAGCCAGCTTTACTTTTCAGTGAAAAACAAGACTTAATTTAAATAAAGCACTAAAGCCCCACTTCTCCCTCCAAAAAAATTGAAAAGGATTTACAATTACTAACCTGTTGAGTCAACTGGATGCTGGGACCTTTCACATCTGAAGATCGTGTAACAGGCAGTGGAGGGATCAGATCAGTTTTAACACTGGAATTACGATATCACAAAATGGATATTGCTTTAATGAAGTAAAACATAAGTGTGTAGAAGAAGAATAATGAAACCAACCCAGACAGCTGCATAGATCTGAAAGATTTATCACCTGACTTTAGATATCTGAAAGCTATCATGCTGATCCTCAGTGGGCATCTACAGGGCACAGGCCATCCCATCCCTGTCTTCTCCTGGTCTACAGAAGCAGCCCTACTTCATGCAAGATCAGAGAACCTTAGAATGGTTTGGGTTGGCAGGGACCTTAGACATCGTTTCGTTCCACAGGCAAGGACACCTTCCACTAGACCAGATTTCTCCAAGCTCCGTCCAACCTGGCCTTGGACTCTTCCAGGGATGGGACAGCCACAGCTTCTCTGGGCAACATGTGCCTACCACCTCAGAGTAAAGATGAGTCTCACTTGAAATCACGGATGAGCTAGACCTCCTTCAGGGTGCTATCTAGCTAAAACTAGCCTTCCAGGTGGGTGACATCATCAGGAAACTGCTTTTTATATTTTTAAGGCCTTACTACAACTGAGAATGGGGCTGTCACTTTTCCATTTATCACTCCTCTTCAGTCTTTTAGGAAAGACTGATCCACCCATTGATGAAGAGAATTGTACTACACTTCCTACAAAACAAATTACAGAGTTAATACAGATAAAATCTTAACTCTATTAAGGATGAAGGAATCTGGAAGGCAACTCATGACTTCTCATGCCTTAGGCAACTTCATGACCTACCACTAAAGGCAAATACAGGTTTATTTCAACTTTTTCAGTTTTTCCTCCTTCCAAGTGGATAAAGCAAGCCACTGTGGCCCAGAATAGACCGAAAATGGTTTTGTGGTTGTTTCATTCATGTGGCTCGGAAGTCATAGTATTTAGAGGATTGCCTGAATCCTGTGCCACCAATCAGCCATATTTATGCTACTTCTAATCACCATGATCTTTGAATAGCTTTTGGGCTGCATTGCTAATAACCACATTCACATACTTCACTTCAGACAGGACAGATCTTTCACCATCAGAGCACTGGGACCGCCGATACTGACGGTAGCTTCGAGGGGAATGTGAATGCCTAATGCGGATCGGGTCGCCTTGAGTCCTGAGAGAGACACAGAATTCACAGCAGTAGGTTAGTAAACCAGACCTTTGGCACAAAACATAAATTCAGCTGCAGACTGAGAGATCCTCCCATTTCTTTTTAAAGTATAACAGATGGCTTATTGCACTGGCTGAATTTAAAAGGCTGATGCTTTTTTTAAAAAAGCCTGTACTTGGAATTCAATGCTTTAGAAGTGCAGAGATCACAAACTGGCATGCCCATATTTCAGCATGAAGTGTAAATTAATGCATTCTTTATTAAAGCATCCTTAACATCAGACTTTTCTGTTTAGTGGTGTTGTGGAAGCACATTATAATACAAACCGGGATGCTGTTTCTGCCACATACAGCTGCACTGACACATGGCATCCCAAATGAGCAATTATCACAGTGAAATAGGTGTTGGCTCTCAAGGAAATAGCTGTGCCCTGGCAGCTGCCCATGACAAGCCAGGAAGGGGGTTGCAGAGGTCAAACAGTGCCTTGTGAGCAGAATAAACATTCAAAACAAAGAAAAAGTTTAGGAAATAAATAGATTTGCTTGTTTGCATCCAATTATCTCTGATTCTGTAGTATATAGTATAAAAAATATCCATGAATGGCATAGGGAGGCATACAGAACATACAGAGATCTGACAGATTCACAAGAATGTGGGAGACAGAGAGAGAGATGAAGACAATTTTTTTCATGTTTTAAAAACAGCAAATACCAAGTTTCAAGATTATTAAGTAACCTCACCCAACCCATTCTAGATGAGTATTTGGAGTAGATAAGAGCTCAGAGATTATGTGTAAACCCATTTCTCTTTCAATATGACAGAGTTCACAGTAAAATAAGAAAAGTGGGCTTTTACATTCACAAAGAAAAATCCTGACATAAACTTACTCTACTTTAGTGTATGGAATTTCTTTCAACTGCTCTTCAGATAGGCCAGATGGATCCACAAGCTCCTTCCTATAAAGGATTAGGAAAAGTAAAAAATGTAACAGTAACTATGAAATGCAAAAATAGTCTTATTTTTATTAGAGTGGGCTTAAAAGATTTACTGAAACAAGTTGTTGTCAGCCCTGAAGCTATCTTGACATCAAAATAGGAAACCTATTTAGAAATAAGTGTAACTTCACCTTGATTGCTTCAACTGTATGTTGCATCCTGTTACACCTTCCTCTCACCTCCCTGCAAATCTGATCTTGTTGCTTCACATTATAATGAACATTGTGTATCCTAAACAATTAATATGCTCAGGAATAACTAAATATCTTCCTAATGGGTAGTTCTGTAGCATATGGGGTCTCATCCTAAAAGTGTCAGTATTACAAACAAAGACATTTTGGAAGCCACAGAGAAATAAATCTCTAAAACGATGCATTATTCTTTAATAATTCATTTACATACAACGGCCTTCTGTATTCACTGCATTCAGTGATCTGCAGTATATTCTACACACAGCAGGTCATTAACACACACATAATTTACTGTGGCATATAACTAAATGAGAATGTAATGCCTTATAGCCACAGTGCAGGGCATGTAAATAACTACATTAGAGGAAAACCAAGCATCTCCCAGACCCTACAAGGACTGTACTTACTGAATATGTTTCCACAGTTCTTCTTTAGCTTGTACATCTGGGCTTCTCCTATAAATATGAACAAAGACAACAGAGGTTGAACTTGAAAACCATAATGTGAGATGTTGCTGTTCTAGTAACTTTTAACAGCACAGACCCTGCACAGAAATCATGATAAATGTAATCTCAGAATCCACCAATGAGTTCCATTTTAAGGTTTGTTATCTCAGAAAACGCATTAAACTTCATTGCTTTATTTCAACTGTAAAGTAATTTCTTGAATGACAGGCTCTCAATCATAATTCCAGTTCCACTAGCCTACAGCAAGAGTATACATAAAATATAAACAACAGCAGAATTTCCCAAGCTAAATCAGTGCCTCACTACTGCCACACCTTATTCCTCCAAGGACAACATGTTTTGGAATAACACTTCAGTAAAACGCCTTTACAAATGTCCTGTGGCCCACAGAGACCTTTCTGGGCAGAAGGAGGGACTGGACACACAAGGCTGATGCACCAGTAATCCCTGGCCATTCCCAGTCAGCACCAGCTGCTTCACCGCAATCAGAATTGCTTTCTGGTCATCTCCAAGAAGGGTTTCTGCTCACTTTATTTACATTTGGTATTCAGTATGAAAAAAACTCAAAGTCCAAAACAAAACAAAAAAAACAAACAATGAACAAATCAAACCAGCTATGCATATTTGTGCACACAAAGATTTTACTAAGTATTTAATTCACAGGTGAAGTACTTACCAAAAAAGGTAATTCCCCTATTGCAGACATGGATACATAGTAAAGCAAGCCTAAATGGCATGTGTCACATTTTCCACTGAATTATAGATATGCTGAACTGGATCGCCTTTATTTTTACTTTTCTTATCTTTTTTTATTGAAGGGTTAGTATAAAACCACTGCTGATGTTGAAGCTGCACCTAGAATTTACCAAAACCCATTCAGAATAATACATGATACACAGTGCCGGGGTTACATTTGCATGGAGAGATTAGATAACTCTGTTCATTGGCATTTTTATACATAAACTCAGTGTTGACAGCCACATGGTTCCACACCGTCTAAGATGTGAGATGCAACTTTTAGACACATTCAGCACGTACAAATGCTCCCAGTTTCTCACAGGTTAAGTCTTACATCATCAGGTCATACAGCCTGCTTTCTTTTCCTTAAACAAAAGGGCCAATCATATTCAGAGATGCTTTTGGAATGATATAATCCAAATTTAGATGAAGATCAAGGAGAACAGTAGAATTCTGCATTTTAGCATCTACTAAATTGGTTCTCCCTCAACCAGTGACAGAGCTGTATCAGAAATAATTCTAAACTTCTCTGTATCAACGTTTTCCTATTTCACCATTACTATATTCAGCTTTTTGCCTGACTTCAGCCTAGGAATAATGTTCAGAGACATGTACACTGCAGTAAACATTTTACAGTTGATGTAAAGGCAGAGTATTTAGAGATGGTAATATTTGGGGGTATTTTTTTAGATTTTATAGGTGCAGAAGTACTGGGAGATATTAGTTCACTGGTTTATAAATACCAGAGAGAGAACGAAGGATGAAAAACAACCTAGCATTTGTGTTTCCCTAGTAGGACTAAAATTAACTAATCCATAACCTTCTCAAGCTCCAAGGCAGTGATGGCTTTCCAGGCAGCATGACACATTGAAGGACTGCTGTCCTTTCCAGCTCCTCAGGTCCTCATGATGGCAACAGCCACAGCCACAACGGGCTGTTTAGTTTTCTCCAATATTCACTTCTACCTCTCCTTCTCCAGTTTTTCATTTACTTCGGCTTCTTACATCTGTCCACACTGTTTTTAACTCCCTGATGCAGTGTTTTGCCCTGCAGTGGCATTTAACAGCCTTTTTCACCCCTCAGTTTCAAATTGATTTCTCCTTCAACGCAATCTCTTGCTCACAAAATAGCAGCTGCAAACCCTGCATTCACCCTGGGGCTGGGAAGATAGGCATCCTCTTCTGAGGCTGAATAATCTGGCAGTGGGGGATGAGAAAACTCCCTGAAAATGCCAGCTTCTCCAGGGAGGCTTTGTACTGCTTACAAGCCATAGTTTGCCTGAGGAAGCAAAGCCTTAAGGTCAATCCCAAACCTAGGATCCACATGAAGCAGGGTATTGTCCACACCATTGACCTATTTGATCAGCTCATGGTTTTTACTTATTCATGGAAATACAGCAGTTCAGCATGTCACAAGTATCACCAAATACCATGTGAAGCCTCACCTACAGTAAAAAATATTAATTTCTCAGGCATTGTGGAGAGTGATGAAATAAAAAGTCATCTTCATTTCTTCATTTTCTAGGACCTGTGCCTGCTGCTTTCTGTGACCAGTTCCAAGCACTTTACTCTGTGATCTCTGCCACCTTTCCTTTGTCCATCCCTACAACTACACTAATAAGAAAGACTTCGCTCTATACTACCAGTTTAGCAAATGGCATCCCGTGAAAAAAAAAAGCTAAATACAGTGACTCACCAGAGAAAACTGCTTTTGGATTTTGCGTCCTGTAATTAGTTTTTTTCCCATCTGTTTAAGAACTGTTACCATACTAGCATAATCTTACAGTATTTATTCAGGTTAACTCCATACCTAAGAATATAAAGAAATATCATACAGAAAAACTAACTTAATTAAAGCATTTACTTTCCAAAGGCTCCTATGAAAGGGAATGATGGAAAGCTTACAAAAAGAAAGGTGAAATGTAAGATGAAATGTAGGTATTGCATATACGACAAAGGAAATTAATGTTTGTGTGGTTCTTAAGAGCAAAAAACAAAGTAATCCTTTTGTTAAATCTTTAAAGCCAGATCAAAATCCCCCTTTCACATTGTTTTCATCTTTTTACTGTGAATTGTTTTAGAATCACAGTTGTGATATATGGGACTCAGATTGTCCTATCTCAGTATCTGAATCAATACCTTCTGGACAATTTGTATGCTAATCAGTTCTCTAATGCATAAGAAATCTAACAGGAATTCTCAGTAAAAGATGAATGTCATGGGGGTTTTTTGTTTATTTTTTTATTTTGTTTGCACAAGCTGGAACAGCTCTTCACAATAATAAGGTCTACATTATTTTTTGTGTCTGCATCTGCACCCCTATTAATATTTCAGTTTGAGTCACCAATGGTAAATTTAAATAGCCATGGAATTTTATGGCCATTCTTCTTAATTAGAAAAAGCCCTTTGGCTACACAGATGTTTTCCATGAACTCTTGAAAGTAAACCCTGTGGAACTAGAAGTAGGAGCTCTCTCCATCTGCTGATTCCTTTAGGAGAAAGAAAGGTCAAATTCTTGTCAAATATTTTTATTCTAGAGACCAAGAAGACACCATCTCACCACCACCACCAATGACCAATATTACTCATTATCAAACAAATGAAATGCACTGTGCCTGGTACAGTAACAAATATTTCAGCCACTACTTCACACTTCCAGAGTAAACTTCTAGTCAAGCTGGGTGTAATAATGAACCTTATGTGAAAGACTTATCTGTACTGCTAAAACGAAGGTTTTGTATCAATTTTGAAATGTGCACATTGAAATGATGATATGACAGCATTTAAAATCAAAACAACTATACCCTACAGAATCATATTTCCTTTTTCTCTAACCTGTATCCAGTCATGTAAACAAAGAGTTGAGCCAAACTAAATCAAATAAATTCTCTAATAACCTACTACAGGTTAACAGTTAAATGCCTTTTACTAACCTTTTTTCAAAGAACTTTGAAAGGAATTCCCAATTCACTTTTTTTAGTTCCTACTTGCATATGTGAAGGATCTCTGCCATACTTAGGAGATTTGGGCTTATTTCAAGGAGGGTTTGTTTGGGTTTTTGTTTTTGGTTTTTTTTTTTAAACTGGAGGTTGAGATAAAAAAGAGGAACACAGGAATCATTAAAACAATAATGAAAAGAAATGAGAAACCATCCAAAATCTCCAGGATTTCCTTATTTCTTTGCTTCCTCTAGGACATTTGATTGTTAAGTAAGATACTTCACATTTATGTTTTTTGCTAATAGTAGTTTAAACTCAGACTGTCACTTGCTGGGAAATAAAAGCCATTTCGTAAGTCAAGTTAACCACAAGAGGGAACCCGTGCTATCCAAACAATGACATTTACTTGGCCTATGGGGAAAAAAGAAAAGTTGACTATAAATTTAATCAAACCATTATGAACTGAGTAATAGCACCTAGTTTAAAGCACCTTCTGTAAACAATAAAAGAAATGGAAATCAAATTTAATCAACTGCATTTTGTGGATTTTATACAAGTGAGCTTTAATATTCCTGATTTTTAGTAATGTATCATTGTACAATTACACCTAATAACACATGACTTTTGAGCAGCTGAAAGTGAACAAGTCTGTACAAACCCTATTAAAGTAGAAATTCCTGTATTTGGAATTGCAATGGCAAATTCTATTTCTCATCAAGAATTAAAACTCCATGTTTTAATTCTTGTTTTAATTCTCCAGTTACAGAACTGGAGACAGAAATGAGTTTTAACAACACAGGCAACTGAAAACAGAACTCAAGTGGATTTTAATACCGGAAACTTCAGTGAAGATAACAGTTTCAATTGGTATGAATAAAATTATACAGTGTTTCTTGTTAAGTCTTAACATGAAAGGTAAATTTAAGAAAAGATGTCATTGGGGAGTACCCAAGGGATGTGTTACAGAGGTCACACATTACACCATCAGCATCAGGACTGGCAAAATATCCACGTCAGGAGTCAGTGAGGATGGGGATACAAAGACTGTTCTCTCTTGCCTCCATCTTCCAGTGCCTCATAGCTGCTCTCCCCAAACTCTTCAATATCACTGGCCCTGACTTGCCCTGCCCTGCCTGCCCTGTCGTCAGACACGCTGGAGTTGGTGCTGCTTCCTAATCTGCCGGGATGGCAGATTAGGCTGGACACAAACACACAGTGTTTACACACCAAATCCATGCCATTAGAAGAAAAATGTGAATTAAAGAAACCAACATTTTTGTTAGTTTGGAAAATTAATTTTAAAAGCTGGTAACTTCACCATTTTAAACTGGCTGTCGGTAGAAATGGCACTGCCTAGCAGTACAATTCCATTGTGGAACTCCTGACATCAGGACACAATGTATCACTGACTGCTGCTTGTCAACGGTAATTTGACATGGAAACATCAGCAGATGCTCTCATCTGGACCATTGCAGATTTATATGATCAAACAAGTGAGCATGTATTTCACGCAAACGTTTGCAGCTACCACATAAAATCTGAATGCTTTCACAGACTTGCTGCTTAGAAGCGGGGAATCACTGTCTTCATTACAGAACCAATGCTCAATGAGCCACGACACCATCCAGGACTTCTTTCAAGGTGATGGAGAGGGTTCCTCTGTTACAAAGCCCTTCCTGCATTATTTGTGCCCTGAAATTCAAATCACTAAACAAAGGCAGTTTGACCAAAGACAAATCTGCTAATGTGAGAGCAGAGCCACGTAAAAATCTCATTCCTCAGCAGCTGAGGGCCACCACCACGCTGGAGACACACCTCCTGCTTTTTAACACGCTACAGCAGCCTTAATTTTTACATCAAAGGGTGCAAAGGTTACATACGATCGAGATCTGTGCCTAGATCGTCGGTAGTTTGGATCTGCCTGGGTTTTCCCCTTCTGTCGCCGCAGCACAGCCTCCCACTGAGGAGCTGAGTCAACCATATCATTCTCTTGCCGTAATCTGCAAAGCAAGTATCAGGAGTTTAGTCTGAGCTCTCTGATGCAGGATGCTCTGAGAAGCAATTGGGATTACTTTTTTTCCCAGAAAAAATCCAGCTCCTGTAATGCAGTACTTTAACTTTTTGTCTTGCTAAATTTTAATTAATGTTCCTAAATTAAGTTAAAATGTAAGAACTGTAAAAAAGAAAACTGACTGATTTGTTGTTTAGAAACAGCGTAAGCCAAAAAAGAAATCATCCATTACTTTAAGAACAGGCTCACAGCTTGAATCCTTCTTCCCAGCCTAAGCCAAACATCTAGAATTTTTTTCCCTTTTTACAGCCCATCTCGTCTACAGCAAGTGGAAGACCCACATCATGATATAAGGCTCTACTACTACAGTTTTTTCAAATACTTTGCTGCAGCACACCTTCCTAGGATCCAGAGAAAATCCCCTGATGCTCTTGGTGAGTTCCCACTCAGAAGAGGCAGTCCCATCATCCTGACCTGCAACAAAGCCCAGGATGAATGCAGATCTCCCATGGCGCTCCTTCTGCACCACCCTCTGAAGCTTTGGTCCCTATCTCTGTTTGTGGACATCTAAACAATATGCTATGCCTTTTATTTTTAATTTGTTTCCCCCTTTTTTTTAAAAAAATACATGAATTCATTATTGGAATGCATTGCAAACTGAACCAAATGTCAAAATCCTATCAACCCAGCACATTGGTTAGCTTGATGTAGTCCTACAATGCCACAATCAGTCAGGACAGCCAGCTTGCCAGTGTTTACAATTCAAAGTTCCACAGATGCTTCTCACAGTTTTGGAGTTGCACATATGAGTGGTGGGATGAAGTTCTAAGGTGGAACAAATGGATATGCTTTGTCACAGCAGTGAATTTAAAGGGATTTCAAAACAATCCTGGAAAATATCACCTGAAAGTGGACTGTCAGATAGGATGGTACAACTCGCATAGTGAAGAAACCAGAGGAGCTTAACAAAAAATAGAAAGACTAACAGGTAAAACAAACAAAGAAGCTGACAGAGATAAGGGGATTACACTGCAGACATAGGAAATGCAAAGCATGTTATTGCTCTTCACTACAGAAGTACTTTTCTCTTTGAGTTTTTAATTGTGTCAGGCTAAACTGGCTACACAGGCTGCTGCTTTTCCTTTAATCAGATCTTTCACATGCATAACAAATTTTGAGCTGGATCTCCATCTACTATAAACAGCCATAAGTCTATCAAAAGGTACAAAGCATCTGGAGGAGACTGCAACCTCAGGTTTTAATTTCTAAGCAAATCTTTTAAAATCTGTAATCTGGTGACAGGTATTAACATAAACTTCTATCTAAGGATTTAGTAAAGGAACTCACACAGCAACAAGTAATGAATTGTGATTTTTGTCCCAAATAATCCAATTTGTGGAGACAGCAATCATTCCACATGGTATAAACACAACCATCTGCCTCCCACATACATCAGTCACTTGCACAAAAAGAAAACCTGCAGCTGCCAGACCAGCACTCCTGCTGTGGGTGGTGGGTTTGCCACCTCTCCCAAACACCAGTTCCTAACAGGTCAAGTAGACAGCTGTGCTCTGAATGTTTGCCATAAAACAACCCAGAACTACTCCTTCTTCTCAAGAAACCCACACAGCACAGCAGAGCATGAGGTCCATACTCCAGCACAGAACACATGAGATCCTGCACCTCTGTGCTTGAAACCACACTTCCACACTTCCCAGAAATGACCTCTTGCTGAGGAAGTTCCACATCATTTCTGCTCAGGTTCATTCTATTAATCCTGTAGATCAACATCTACTGATGCATGGCAAGCACAGTCCTTAGCAATGCATTCATTTATCCACAAGTACTTCATATTTCTATTTTGCCTCCTTTCTTCTACTTGTTGAACCATACGACAGTTCGTCACTGGTTTTCATCTCTTCAATTTGAGTAAAATATTGAAAATCTAAATACATAAAGTAACATGGCAGCTATTAAAACAAGCAGTGTCAGCACACTTGAAGTACCACAGCAGAACCCTACTAGAGCCGAGACATGAAGAAACAAAACGTCCCTTTTGCTGATGCAAATAAAGGCACTATGCTCACATTTAACAAGGTAAAGGATGACCAAGGTGACACAATCTCTACATAAAATACATTATTCAGATACAATTATCAAATTCTAATAATTTTGGGGCAATTTTTTTTAGCTTTTTAGCAATAGAAATAAAAAAAAACTCTGAAAGAAATTTAACTCAAACACTAAATTTATATTTAAAGATACTTCTGAATAAAAAATGTTGCCCTTATTCTCAAAGCCCATTACAACTTTCCTTTCATTCTTTCCACTATTTGATCCCACAAGGGAACACATTGATTTATGCCTATATAGAAATACATTATCCCAGTGACATATTTCACATGTTCCTGGCACGTGAAATAAATCCAGTTGAGATTAATAGCTATCACAGTAACAAATTAGGCATTGTTTGCAGGAAGACTTGATGATAAAATGGAAAGTCCTATGACTATCATCACTCATCTGTTGTCTTATAGATGGGGTTTTTTCTCATTTCAGGTGGTATGGTAGCAAGATACATTTATGCAATGAAAAATTCTCTTAAGCAATTCTGAAGACTTGATTCTTGACATGCCATTCAAAATATTTAAGCATAAAGTTGTTTTTCAGATACAATGTACAACAACAAGGGGCTTATAGGGGTTGTGATGGTCAAAGACAGCCTTGGCTGCAGAGACCAAGAGACGGTGGAATTCAGGACCCTGAGAGGAGGGCAAAAAGTAAGATTACATCACCGGACTTCAGAAGAGAGGGCTCTGGCCTCTACAAAGATCTCCTTGGACAAGGCCCACAGCATAAAGAGGTAAAAGGGGTCCAAGAAAGCTTCAAGGATCATCCCCTCTAAGCTCAAAAGCAGCCCCCTCCCACCGAGTCAGAAGTCAGGCAAAAATGCCAGGAGGCCTGCATAGATGAACAAGGAGTTCCTGGCAAAACTCAAACACAAAAAGAAAACCCACAGAGGGCGAAAGCAGGAGCAGGTAATGTAGGAGGAACTGAAGAACAGAACAAGAACTGAGGAACAGAAACATTGTCTGAGCATGTGGAGATGAGGTTAAGAAAGCCAAAGCTCAAATGGAATTGAATCCCAGCAGAAATGTCAAAGCCAGCAGGAAGAGCCTGGATGGAAAGCAGCTTTGCAGAGTTCACCTGAGAGTCCCGGTGGACAGCAAGTTGAACATGAGCTAGCAACATGCTCTTGCAACAAAAAAGCTGAATTGGACCCTGGGCTGCATTGAGCAAATTATTGCCAGCAGATCAAGGGAGGTGATCCTTTCCCCTCTAGTCAGCACTGCTGAGGCCACACTGGGAGTTCTGATCCAGCTCTGGGCTCTCCAGGACAAGACAGACACGGACACAATGGAGAGAGTCCTGCAAAGAGTCACCAAGACGATAGAGGAATCTCTCATGAGGAAAGGCTGAGACAACTGGGGCTGTTCAGCCTGGAAAAGAGGAGGTTCAGGGAGATCTCATCCATGAATATAAACACCTGAAAGCAGGTGCAAAGAGGACAAATCCAGGCTCATTTCAGCTGTGCCCCGTGACCAGACATGATGGGCACACACTGAAACACAGGATCTCCACCTGAACATCGGTAAACTCCTTTTCCCTGTGAGGGTGACCGAGCACTGGCACAGGTTGCTCAGGGAGGTGGTGGAGTTTCCCTCCTTGGAGATACTCAAAAGCCATGTGGCAATGGGCACTTGGATCAGGTGGCTGGACCAGATGACACCCAGAGGTCCCTGCTAGACTCAACTGTTCAGTCACTCTGTGATTCTAATCAGATGGATCTTCTAAGCGTAGTCAAGCAGGAAACTATTCTTCAGAGTACATTTTATTATATAAAATAAAATTTTATTTTTATTATGTAGAACTTTATTATGTTTTTCTCCACAAAATAAATTTTGACAACAGCATTAAAAAAGCAAATGCATTTCTTCTATGATTAAAATATGCTCATAATTGGTTTTTCTTCACTTTCTTATGAATATCTGCCTTGGATAAAACATTCATATGATGGAATGAAACCTCAAAGACTGATTGATATCAAGTAAAGAGTTTCCCCCTAACATTTTTCCAGTGTTGTACCTTCAGAAGTTCTCGCTTACATTTCTGGTTTTTTCCGATAATGTGTTTTCTTCTGACAAATAGTTCACAGTGATCTCTTATCATGTGAACAATATATTCTATTCTTCTGTGATCAGAAGCAGATTCCTTTGGTTAAGATGAGTACTCACTCATTGCATTCCAATAAAACAAAACAATTTTATTCCTGCTTGAGCCAGGGACCTGATTATTGAACTGGGAAATAAATTATCTATGCGGCAGGTAAAACTTGATTACAAGCAATTGCAAGGCTCATTATAGTGTCCTATTTCACCCTGTTAGGGCTGGCTCACCTCTGCCAACACGAAAGCTACTCAGTGCCTCTGCCCTTTCAGCTTGTTATATTCCTGCTGTGGCTGCTAACAAAATGCAGGAATTCATTATGACTGTTTGATTTCCTGCACCTGATTACAAGGCACAAGTCTCAGATTTCCAGTTCATTTACTATTTCTTTAACTTAACACTGATAATGACTTTTTATCTGGTCATATTTTTATATGGTCTGATATTAAGTGATCACCTAAGAAGAAGAGATGCTGCAGCATTAACATTTTTACTGTATCTTAATTTCTGAAAATGTGAAAAACTTAGAAACAATCCACATAAATTGATTTTTTTTCTTTCTAATTTTAAGTGTTTTTCCATGAAGTGAGGAAGGGTTGGTAAAGGTCCTTTTATTCTTCAAAAAATGATTAGCAGTACCTAACCCTTCTCACAATTCAGTCTTTATATTGCAAGAAGTTCTTAAAACATTGTTGTGGTCAGTCTCTAATTTCTTTCACTTGTTTGTGGAGCTCCCTGCACAAAGAGTTTCACTGGATAAAAAAAAAACCTAGCAAGAGTGTTCTAAGAGAAAGGAATATAAAATACCATTTAACACTGATCACTGAAACTACACTCAGCATTTCATTCAAACTTCAGCTGGAAAACAAATCTTCCATGCACACTAGGTTATTGTTAGCCAAATATCTTACAAGACTATGCTCTAATTTAAGTAAACTGAAAAGAAATTTTATGTCTCAGATATGCTTTATACCAGCCCCTTTGAATATCACAATGATTTTTTTCCTGCAGCACTGTCCAGCATACCATTATTACTAAGAGCTTCCAAAGATCTGAAAATCATTTATTACTCACAGTACTGTATGTAAGACAAGAAGAAATGATGGCAGCTCATGCAGGCAGCTTCACAGAAAATTTGCCTTTAACAATTCTTCTTTTGCCCAATTTTAGACTGTGTTTATGCAATATGAAGAAATTCTATGTGCTTTTTAAAAATATATTTTCATAAATAACCCTCCAATGATGTTATCTCCAGTGCAACATGAATGATACAGCTTTAAAGTGAACTTAAAGGAAATCACTTGTTTTGCCATCTTTTTCATATCAGCAACAAAAAAAAAAGAATATATAAAACAGGACTTGTTAGCATCACTTGATATGAACTACTATCCTGTTAAAAGTTGACCCTGTACACATTTTGGGTTAAGGCCCACACTTCACATTTTGGAAAATAAAATAATTATACAATTAAATGCATGCATTTAAAAACAACTTGAGTTTCAGATCCATTAAACCTATTTTTACTTCTCCTCAAAAGCTTTTTTTCTGTAAATCTGCACTTGAATTTACTTGAATATATATTGAAGTATATGCTGAAAATATCATTATCAAGATATTATCTGCTTTATTTGCATTTATATTGCAAGTCTTCTGTAAATGTGCCCCATATTTGATTTTGTGGTTCATTACTGAGTTCTTTCCAAGTTCTTTCCAGGAGGGCAGGCATTCATTGCATACATCTATGATACCTGTGTTTTGGCAATTATTGTTCTTCTTATTCAGAAAAAGACCTTAAGCTGCCTCAGGAGGACTCTACGCATATAAGACATGTTAGATTCCATCTTTCTAGGTTTAGCTGAGAAAAGTCCATCTCCATTTGTTTGTGCTTCATGTCCCCATGTCTAAAGTATATAAAGGTCACCTGTTTCTCTTCTTCCGATGTTCCCTGTTGGAATTTTCTGATTCGCTGCCACTGCTGGTGTTACAGCGAGATCGAGATCTGGAGAAGAGAAAAGAAACAACTCAGGATGAAATTATCTACAAACATCAAAATTATTGCAGCACTAAACAGGGAAAGAGCAACACTGCAACAACATTACGAGGAAAATTAGAATTAGAAGACTCAAGAGGGCTTGTCTACGCCTGCAAGTCATATTATCTGCTTCTCATTAATTAACTGTGAACAACTGCTTCAAAAGTAGTGCACCCACAGTGTAGTATCAGGTGCATGCTATTTCGTTTTCAATTATTTCACTGTTTTGGGTTTTTTTAAATTTATTTTACTTTATCTCTCAGCATTCTTTGTGAGTATGCCACAGCAGTATGTTTCTTTGATGTGTGAAATGTTTTATCTTTAAACTGTATGATTCTGGCTCTTTTCTTCTTGCATATTGTGATATAGCCCAACAGAAATGATACAGCAATTCTGGTTTTGCCAGCAAAACAGAAAGCTCACAGATCTGTCTTTTTCTATTCACCACCTCAACTTCCATCTGGCCTCTAGTTAAAGTTCACATTTTTCAAGTGTCAGGCATTATGGACAAAACACCACTATCTTCATAAATACAGAGGGCTGAAGTGCACACACAGACTGGTGTGTACCAGCCCAGCTTTGGGATGACCTGATGCACAGCTACAAAAATGGTGCATCACGTGAGGAAAACAAAATAAAACAGTTACTTCTGTATTACCTCTGACTGCAGAGCTTCAAATGGTAAGGTGACTTTTATGGTTCTAATTATTACTGAAAAAGACTGGTGGAACAGGCTGAACTACCTATAAGCAAACTGCTCTTGGTAGAGAGAAAGGCTTGGGAACTACTATCTGAGACCCTTAAATCCTTGATTGCATTTTGGAGCAGACAGACCAGCTGTCAGGGCTTTTGTCCTAGAAACCAGGACGCTGCTATTGTACCACTGGGCTAGGTCCTAAAGACTGGTACTCTCACCAAAACCTGGTTCAGACCATTCGTTCTCTAGTGTGATGATAGTCTCTGAATGGTCAGATTTGATGATCTTAGAGATCTTTTCCAACCTAAATAATTCTTTGATTCTATGAGTACCTCCAAAGAAAAACATGTTTCACTGCTATACTAACAGCCCAGTTAATTAATGCGAAAACTTGACTGATATTAACATGAGCCAGTCTAGAAGGATTTAGAATATCAGAAGTTAGAATTGATGCTGGTCCATGCAATGGAAAACAGAACGTCTGTTCCTGGCTTTGCTTTTGCTCTTTGGTAAGCCACTTTCGTAAGAAGACAGATTAGTCAAACTACAGAATGTCTTATAATAATAGGACAACTAAAGCCCAGGAAAATCAATTCAACTCAGCTTGTCTGAAGGGAATAAGCTTGGGAAACTGACATTTCCCCAGAGAAGCAGAAACCTCTCCTCATTCCCAAATTTCATGTTCACAATCTAAAGGCACCAAGAGGATCAGGATAGCTAGGTTCCCAGGTAAAATATACACGTTTCTGAGTGAAGCTTAAAGTGGGGATAAAAAAAGATGTGTGTAACTATAGAAAATTGTAACCCCAAAGGAAGAAAGAAGATTAAAAGGTAGCGCTGAAAAGATTCACTCCAGCACAATAAAAGAGTTAAGAGCAATAAATGCCTTAGAACTGCAAAACAAGTATACTTTTCTCCACCTCAATCTTATTGGATATTTAATAAATATTCCACTAATTTCATCATTAATAAGTCATTCAAGCAACAGTGTTATTTCACACCTCTGGGTCATTAGCATGATTCTTCCACAAGTATTTTCTTACTGTGATTTAAGTAATTTATCCCATAATGTACCAAAGCATCAAAAATCACAGCATGGCAGGCAAAGTGCAAGATAAAACAAACTATTTGATCAAATTCAAGATAAGCCCTTTCTCTAGCTTTTCAGGAATGGAAATCTGATCCACCTTTTGGATACTACATATCAAACTACCTTGTGTTCCCTGTAAGGAAGCACTTGTGAGGAGACAGAAGGGCTGCTGAGCTGTCAGCTGAGTGGTAGCTGCTCACGGTTGCTGTCAGAATATTATCTTTCACTGAATATTAAACACCAGCTTTTACTGAAAAAAATACCAAAACAGAAACAAAGGTGCTTTCCTAAGCCAAATGCAAGAACACATGAGATCATCCTGATCTCTGACAATTACAAAGTACCTTCCATCCTTTATTCCCTTTTTTTTTTGGTCATGAAATATATTTAATATTTTGTAGGTAGTATACCTTTATGGTCTGATACAAGGAGCAGGAAGGAAGGTATAGTCAGTTTGGCAAAAGACACAGCAAATACAGTCCAGGAGAGGGCTTGGGGGGTTGAGGTGTGTTGCAGGATTTGGTATTTCAAAGAAACAGCTGGCAGAGAAAGTTCACATTCTGGTGCAGTCTATTTCTGACTACAATGAGAGTATAGTAGCCAAATTCTGAGGAAGTGGAGACGGTCTGTTGCAATATACAATAACAAACCTGTGCATTTGTATTGTAATACAGCAAGAACAGCCTTTGAGAAAAGGTCCCTTCTGAGCACTGGGGTTTTTCACCTGAGGTACTTAACTAAATCTTCTCAGTTTTATGTGCTGGACATCTGTCACAGGACTACAACTGGCAGCTTGTAATGGTAGCCTTCTTCAAAAAAATAATCTGTTATCTGATACAATAAATGCAAATTATGTAAGCACTTTCTCTGACTTCCTGTGATTGTCCCCGAGATGTTTGTATCTCTGCCAGAGTTCCTTTCCCGTGCTTCAGCAGTGAATCACATCCTGCAAGTGCCTCCCCTCCTTCACAAGTTTCAGCAGTCCCTGACATTGAAATGCACTCCACTGTCTCCTTATTCTGGCAGTGTGAGTAGGAGCACAGGAGCAAGGAGAAGCATAGAACAGTCATGACAGGCTGATATGGCAAAAAATCTGTCAAAAACTGAAGCTGTTGAAGGCCACACCTGAATTCACACCAGCATTTTGTCTGGAATGTGACAATCAGTCAAGACTGAAGAGGGGAGGGGAAAAAAGAAAATAAAAAAGTCAGAAAAAAATGTGCAAAACCATGAGAAGACAGTGAGGAATTACATATGCCTTTGCACCTGCCTTTTGCAGGACAATTCATCTCAAATTATAGCATACTTGCTTTCAAATCAGATTAATTAAAAAAGGATAGAGAGGCTGAAAAATTAAAAACAAATCTGCAGTTGTAAAATCTGAAAGCTAAAATATCTGGAATTGACTTTCGAGTTGCAGACAAGCCTTTAGTAAACTTTCACAAACTGCTTGTAGCATAGTGTAGCAACAATGTGCAAAGGTAGCTTCCAAGGCTGAGCTTTGAGGAGGCTATGCCACAGAGCTTTTTAGCAAAAGTAGGATAGGAAAAAGAAAATGAAATGGGTATAACACAACAAACCTCTTAAACAATTAAGAAGATGGGGGAGAAGGAAGGAAAGGAGGGCGTGCAGTCAACTAAAATATGATCAGTACCTTAACTATAATTTCACAGCTGCTATAGATCATATATTTACCGTCTCCTTTGCTTTAAGTCTGAATCTTCACTGTTTTGATTTTTCCTGCAGCATTAAGGAAGTTTTAATGAAATACCATTGAGTTACTTAATAAAAATACACAAACCCACCCACCTTTAAAAAAAAAAAACAAATTTTACCAAGTTTTTTGTTTCCTTTTTTTTTTCTTTTTTTTTTGTTTTTCAGCATAGAAAATAGGGTTTGTGCTTTTTTGACTTTTTCAGGACGCCTCAACAATAATTTGCGAAGGCATAGTCCCACTGAATCTCTCACTGCAAACCCCTGACTTGCAAGGATAAGCATAGCATACTAGCCTTTAGAGTTTCCTACTGTTTCCAACATAGCAAGTCTGATGTTTTCCTCTTAACTCCAGTAAAAAGTGCACAAACAATACAGCTATTGTTATTAAACAGTTGGAAAAGGAAAGTGCATGAATAAAACCACGATTCAGGAAGACATAATTAAGTTAGAATCTACCTACTATTGTCAGTCTTCACAGTCTCATATATGAGATAAGACTTTTAAAAACATTTTGTCCAAGAGAAAACTTGCTATTGGTATGACTGCCTGTCCACTGACTAGATCAGCCAAATGCAAATCCCATACGATAAAGACTTTGCATCTCAAAAAAATTCCTTTTGCATAGTGCACAAACATGTTTTTTTCCTTGGCATGAGACAGTTTTGCACTGCATATCTCTAGTCTTTTGTTTTTACAAAGCCAAACAAGTACTTCTGACAACTAAGGTAGCAACGCATCAGAGAACCTGCTGCACTTGACTGGGGTTGAGTTAGTTTTCTTCCCAGTGGCTGATATGGGGCTATGTTTTGGATTTGTGCTGAACACAGAGTTGATAATATAGAGGTATTTTTGTTATTGCTGAGCAGGACTTACACAGAGCCAAGGCCTTTTCTGTTTTTCATACCGCCATGCTGGCAAGGGGGCTGGGGGTGCATGGGAGGTTGGGAGGAGACACAGTTGGGACAGGTGACCCCAACAGACCAAAGGGAGATTCCAGACCATATGGCATCATGCTCAGTATATAATGTGGGGGCAAGAAGGACACTTGAAGCGATAGTGTTTGTCTTCCCAAGTAACCTTTACATGTGATGGGGCCCTGCTCTCCTGGAGATGGCTAAGCACCTGTCTGCCCACGGCAAGCAGTGAATTAATTCCTTGTCTTGCTTGGCTTGTGTGCACAGCTTTTGCTTTCCCTGTTAAATTGTCTTTATCTCAACCCATGAGTTTTCCAGCTTTTACCCTTCCAGCTCTCTCCCCAGTCATACTGGTGGTGGTGTGAGCGAGGGGCTGTGTGGGGTTTGGTTGCTAGCTGGGGTGAAACCACAACAAAATCCATTTGGGAAAGACATTGCTATCAACACCTATGAGGGCTCTGTCCAACAGGATAAATCAACTCTATTGCCTTAGACAGAACTACACTGATGTACCTGATATCAGTAAGCATACATCGTGAATGAGTTTCTTCCCTCCTGTTTCAGACAACTAATGGCATATAAAAAGGTCTGGAGTAGTTTAGAAACTTGACCAGCATAAAAGCCCCATATCAAACTAGATTTCCTAATCAATATAGCTGTGTTTTCAGAGACCCCTTTGCAAACCTTGGCTTTAAAAGCCAGGTAATCATTTCTGAGGAGATGTAACTCTCAGGTGCTGCTCATAAGGCAGTCGTAGAAGACTGTAAAGAATGTGGCACAATATCTATGCTTGCTTATACTTCACAACGGATCACAGCAGCAGGCAGGGTGCCTCAGCGACGAAAGTAGCTTCTCAGCAGGACAAATCATCCCAGGTAACACACAATCTCTAAGTATTGCATCACTTCAGAACTGTCCCTGTAATTTGCATTACCGATTGAAATCACACTAAGTATTACACAGTGGTATTTTTGTTGCCTTCCTCTCTAATGTAAAGTCACACATGGGACTGCTGAAGACAGCCTTATGGCTCATTCATTTAATCCTTGTGCCAGTTAAAGCAAAGCCACGTACTTAAAACACTGCTTTGTGTTGGAAGCTCATTGTCAAGCAAGGGACATCCATCAGTCCTTTTGTTCACCAAGCAAGAACACCTGCAGCAACTGAAAGGATCTTGTACATGTCAATAATGAAATTTCTCATATTTTTAACATCATTTTACAAATACTCAGAACAGCACACAAGCAAACAACCTCACTCAGGTGTTTTTATTTGACTGGCCCCTCGAATACCCCTTTTCCCAGGACCCAGCTGTGCCTCCAAGAGCCAAGCACAGACACACAGGACCTCAAGTTTCTACAGTGAGAAGATGACAGTAACTAATCCCAGGCTCTTACCTCCTCCGCACTGGTTGCCCAGACTCATTCTCGCTGCCACCTGATGGGTTCCTTCGGTGTGAGTAAGGAAACTTTGGTGATTTGTTGCGGTCATTGGGGGAATTATAGAGTCCACTAAGGTTAAAAAGGAATAGCAAACAGTCAGCTTTAAAATTTCCAGGACAAATAGGCCAGTTAACTGAGATCCAGCTTACAAAAACAAGAAGGCTCACACCCACATATGTACATGTTCAGCTATACCTGCTTTTGAGTGTGTGTGTGTGTGCTATGTAAATACAGATGGCACTGCTGTCTAGCAGTAAATATGTTTCTCTAGTAACTGTAGGAGAGAGACCTCTTAGCATTGCCAAGCCAACAGATCTAAGCTTACAAAATGTAAATCCAAGTGTATCCATATTCTTTTAGCATAATAAAATTTCTTTGCTTTAGTATGACTTACCCAACCCAGAGCTAGGTATTCAAATGTATCTCTATTCTTTATGTTTTCTGCACCTCTGTTCTTTATGTTTTCTATGTATGAAAACTTCCCATGTTCCTGTCATGACGTATATCTTCATAACAGAGCTGATGCTTAGGAACATGAAATAATTTTAGTTCTGTCTCTCTGCAATTCATCCACACAAACCTCTGCAAAGGGTGTGGAGGTGCTTCAAGCTTCAAGTGCTTTAGCCTAAGTGGGAGCCAAGATGTTGGGTAGTTACAAATTACATATAGACTATCAACTGTATGAATAGATTACCCTGTGATACCTTCCTACAGAAGTGTAAGGGCCTTTTTCAAGAGTGTAACTGAGCCTGGGATGCAGTATATGTCACTCTGTCATGTCACCTGTCACCAAGGTGGTCTACTGACATTCTGCCACTTTTTGGAGGAAGTATGTTAAACTCAACCACATATCTGTATCTAATACCACTTAGTCTTTTTCACAACTGTGTGGCAAAAAAAATGATAATTCTCACAAAATTCCACCTAATATATTTTTTTTGCTTTCCTTACAGCCTCTGCCCATCCAAATTGGATACATTCTTCTTCACCTAATTCTGCAGACAGCTGATTACAGCACTGCTCTGCACAGGTGAAAAGTTCCCACAGTTCATCTCAATGAGAATTATTATTAGAAGTTGTCAAAGCCCCTGTGCAACATAGAGTCTGCTTATGTGTCTAAAACTGCATAGTCCTTTAGAATGCATGGACATGCTAAAACTCAATCCTATCATTCTTTAACTCCTGCAGAATCAAATTTCCTGCTGTCCTGACCGTAATTTAAGCACTGGAGCCAAAATGTGACGACACCACTTCTTTAAAAATAACAAAACAACAACAAAAAAAAGGTCTATTCTATCAAAAGAGTATTTACACACCGTTTTCTCCTTACTCTGAAAACTACTGATGCTTACAGAAGGAGTACAAAGGGTAAATCATCATGATGCCCCAAAAGACACCTCTGTGGAAAGCCGCTGGTGATATTCATTCAGTGATCACCTCCTCCTACACATACTTTCCTTATTTTTAATTGCTTATATATCCATGACAGAACCTATCTACTTACATGCAATACAGATTTATGATGACCCCAATAACACACTAATATATTATATTAATATCCTTCAGCCTACAGCTGTGGCATATTTACCATGGTACAATATCCAAGACATCATGCCCTGCCTTACCTCTGTGGACCATTTTCCTCCCATGGAGCACTTGATTTACTTCTTTGGGTTTCTGGACTGTTTTCATTTTTCATCTTTTTAAAGCTAAATAAAAGTGTATATATATATATATATATATTTTAAACCCACAACATACAATCACATTTTCTCTCACACTGACCTCTTAAAAACTAATTTTAAAGGCATTACAGAGACCCACCCTGGCATTTAGTTATTTGTCTGCTGTGTGAAAGAGGGCAAACAGGTGCTATGTTGAAAAATATCTCCTAGAAAGAGAGATCATAAGGGGGAAAAAAAATCAGCTCTACGAGTTTATAATTATAGTGGTACTGAGTCAGAAAAATGGTCAGTGTTGTCTCAGAATAAACAAGAACAGACATTTAGGCAAGTAGTCTAACAATAAGGCAAACACACGATATGCTCTCACAGTCTTCCACAATATGCAGTCAACAGATTATTGAATCAGAGGCTTTATCTGCATTTTATTTCACATAGCTGTTGATGAAACTTTGTTCCATGAATTTACTTAAACATCCTCTTGAACATTTTTTTAATTTTTGGAATAAATAGTGGCTGGTAGAAGTATGCTCTAATATTTAGCTGCGGCATAAACAATTATTTAATTTTATTTCAAAACTTCCACCTGGCTCAAAACTTCCACCCCATGTTGCTCACTGTTTCTGTGATTATAGAAAAAAAAAAAAAGCAGCCCTATGAATGATGATTCTGTAATCACAAATTGAACACCATATTTCTTTAATATACATTTTTAACGACTATCTAATCTCTTTTCCAAGTGAAAGAATCACAGACTATTTCATCTCTCACAATACAGGAGTCATCACATACCTCTGATTATCCTTATTCATATTTCTCTACCATTTTTCCAGGTCTACAGTACCTGCTTTACAATGGGAGCAACAAAGGCATGGAGTAGTAACTATTCAAAGAATGACAGACTACAGGCTCATAGTTTCACTGCGTGGCATATTCTTCTCATTCCCTGCCCAGTAAAGCCTTATGTTTTCTTTTGTTTTAACTAACAATGTGAAAGGGCTGACTTCACTGACTGCTGAAAGGTGATGTACCAGGACAGTCAAGGTAGTCACCAGCCTGAGAGATTTATCAGTCTTTGTAACCAGTCTCTCATAATTATGGGAGATGGGGGCAAAACCAGCAGGATACTCCAATTCTTCCTGTACTCCCATAATTCTCACAGTGTCCAGTTTTACAGCTTCTAACCATTAATGCTCCTGGATGGACTGCCACTTCAAATGTTGGAGAATGGCTTTTAGTTGAAGCATGCTTTTCCACCCATGTCCTTGCCAATGGCCAGGTATGGTTTTCCTGTATCACCATCTCTCTACACGAACAAGCAGTTCACTTGATGCAGAACTGGGCAGCCACATTGATTTTCACTAAGGTCTTCAAGAATTATTACTGACAGCAGCCCAGTACAATCATTAATACATCATACCATTACAAAGTGCAACTCAAGCGGAAAAAATAAAAGATTTACAGTTGCTTACCGAGAGGAAGATAAAAGCTGGAGTTCTTTGCCCAGAGCAGGAGGTGACAGACTCAGCTTTATGAAGGAATCATGGCTACTTAACTCACTAATCCACTTTTAACCTTAGCCTTTGGTTACTCTGGGTCACTGAGTTAATCATTTAATTATCACATAGTGAACAAAATGCGAAGCTACAGTGAGTCAGCAGGAAAAGAAATTAAATTGCACCTTATCAGGTAAATCATTTTCTTCATACTGCATCCACTAATCATTGACTCATAGATGCATACAACCTATTCCCAGGATCAGAAACATGTGCTTACTACAGACAAAGCAAATAACTCAGGCAAATATGTCTCAGTCCTGTATTGCAAAAAGCAATTGATTTTGCACAGCATGAACTACTGAACTATACTGATATTGAACTCAAAGAAATGTGAACGCTGTTTTCAAATCTTAAAAAAGAGACAGAGAAATTACCTGGGAGGTGAATTTACTGCATTAAATTCCTAGGCCATTATTCATTTGGAGCAGACACACTCTTTACAGATAGAAAGCTAGAGCACGGCAGCTCTTCAGATACTAGTAGTATCTCCAGGGATGCAATTGCAAAAGGTACAGAGTTCACTCAAAGTATCTGAAAAGGTTAGGATCTGAATTTCATGTGAGATTACTGTTGTTGGGGCTTTTTTATGGTTTACTTTGAATTTATACAATTTATGCATGTGCAATCAACAACATATCTCAACAGTGAATGAGATACAGTTAAACTATGAAAACTCAGCTTGTGAGAGCTGATTAAAAATGCTTTGCAAACATGACTGACAATTAATGCAAGAATTACACAGGATGGAGCAAACTACCAAATTTGCTTTACAAATTTTGTGTGCTGGCTGTCACATATACTAAGCCTGGCAGACCTGAAAGGTTTTTTACATGGTCAGGCAGAGACACAGGGAAAAACAAATAAAATTCTAAAAGAAAAACATCTTCCAGCACTTTTATTTTTTTGGTGAAAGTGACTAACACTCTTAAAAACCATGACTCAGTAAGAATTTGCCTATGAATTGCTTTTAGACTGTTAATGTAAGAAACTAAACCCAGAAACCTTAAAGCTGCCATGTTGAGAGCCCCTTATTTTGTTTCGTCCTCTATAGCCTGCCTACTCATTTCTTTTTAACAGTTCATTGGTAAAAATTCATACACAGCATTCGGAGCACAAGCTGCAGTGAAGGGCTCCCATGCCTCCCAATATGGTCATCTCTGCACTCCGGAATAATGGGAGCTCTTGCTCTGTATCTTTCGCTCTCCTAAAAAATCCCAGAACAACAAAATGGTGGGACTGCCAGGATCCTCTGGATATAATCTGGTCCAACTGCCTGCTCCAGCAGGGCCACACAGATTCAATTGTCCAGGACTATTCCTAGACAGCTGTTGAATTTTCTTCAAGAATGGAGATTCCACCACATCTCTGGGCAGCCTGTGCCAGTACTTAGTCATCTTCATAAGGAAAAAAGTGTTTTTTTGATATTCATAGAGAACCTCCTGGGTTTCAGTTTGTGCCCATCACCTCTGGCTCTGTCACTGGGCACCACTGGAAAGAGACTGGCTGTGTCCTCTTTATGCCCTCCCTTTATTTAGATACCTCTTTATTGTTTTCTGCTCAGTGGCCTCCCTTCAGCATGAAAATCATAAACTTTCTTTTAACTTATAATCATTATTTTCTAAGAATATTGGATTCGATTTCCCTCAAAATGAGGAAGAAATTAAACTCAGTTCTTGTCCTAGTTAGAACAGTTGGGACCAGTTCCTCACTGGATGGGTGTAACCCAAAACTGTGTATTCTGTAGCCTTCCATGCCATTTCCCAGAAACTGTTATCAATAGACCATTTACACCCTCTGCCCAGAGCAGCCAGAGTCCTCAGGCTATAAACTGGGTGTTAAGAGGCCTGCAAGATAGGAGGGTGCCTGCCTGTCCTCACACCCATTGTGGAACTCCCACCCTGAGGGAGGTACTGGGCATTCCTGCCTGAACCTGAGGATATATAATCTTGGAGTCTTGGGACTTTTTTTAACCACTCGTGGGATCCAGAGGAAGACTGCAGATCACCGCTCTCAACCAGACTGCAACAACCACTCTCGACCGGACTGCAATCACCACTCTTGACCAGACTGCAACAGCACCCTCACCAACAGGTTTTCCCCCCTCCTTTTACTTCGGACTCAGGGGGCCCAAAGAACCACTCTGTTCATGCCCCAGGGTGCTGGGTTATACATTTGGGTTTTGTGGGTTAAAACCAATTGTTTGTCTTTATAATCATACTTATTGTATTATTTGATTAAATTGTTATTCTGATTCACAATCTCTCTTTTGAGTTGGGTTTATTTCCCCTGCCAGTTTACCTTTAAACCAGCACAGCTCTTCTTCTGGAAGTCAACTGTTCTAAATATTAGGCAATAGAAAACACTATTCACTAAGTACTTTGCGGTAAATATTTTAGACCCTTCTTAAGACGTCAGTCCAGGTACCTAGCCTGTGAAACCCATACCTTCATTGCAGAGACAAGTCCAGAGTTACACAGTTAAAAAAAAAACAAAAAAACCCACAAAAAACCCAAAACAAAACAAAACAAAAAACACAACCAAACCAAACCAAACCAAACCAAACTAAACAAACAAACAAACCCACAAAACTGTCAGGGTTACTGAGGATGCAGAGACAGACATTCAGGTAACTAAATGAAAAAAGTGAGGTGCAGAGTTTTTGATTCATTCTTTTGTCAGATCACTCTTTTTCAGATTCAGGCAAACAAATTCCACCTAAAATTATTGGTGGGTATATAAATTCCTTTCTGTAACTGAGGCTTACCTCTTGCTTTCAAATACGCCTAATAATTAGAGATGTGCACTTCAGCACTAATAAGTAGACACAGCAGATCACACAAATTCAGAGGAGCCCTGGTAAATCACTACTTCTATGGATCAGGAAGAAACACTCATGAGTTTTGTAGGAATTGAACAGTGTAATGGCTAATCAACCGCCAGATTAACAGCAGTGCTGGAGGAGAGCCCATACTAAGCTCCTCCCTGCCCACACACCCCAAGCACAGCTTGCCTAGTTCAGTGACAGAAGACCCCTGCCCTGAGGGTTCTGACAGCCAGCCCACAGCTCTCAGGCGAGGGACAAGTAAGAGTATCCTGACCAGTGCCCCTTGGGTCATTAACAGTTTTTTTCCTATTTAAACCCGGAACTGTCTGCCTTCCCATTAACTTGTGCTGATTTACGGTTTCCAAACCTTGTGTCTCTTGAAATCCCTGTTCCACACTCAGAAGATCAGGGTTTTACAAAATCAATTACTGGGCAACACTTTCTGACCTTTGACAGCAGATCAGATGGTACTGAACTCAAGGGCAGGATAAACTGTTACTAAACATTACTAAATGTGTTCCTCTATCCAATGCAATATGAAATCTCTTAAAAGCTGTAAGGAAATGCTGGTATACACACCTTTTCACAGGAGAAGGTGCAATAATTTTGGTGGCTCCTTCATTTTCCCCATTTGTTGTAATCTGGCTCATGTTTTTAGAACCTGAAAAAAGAGCCAAAAACAGAACAGTCCTGTAGCATAAATGCTTGCACATCTATTCAGCATAATAACATACTGAACACAGGGCAGCATGAGAAATAAAATGACACACAAGATATCTGGTGTATGCTCTACTTGTAAGGGTGTATAAGGATCACACTTTTGTGTCTCATCCTTAATTTTAATGGTACCAGATCACAAGAAAGTTTAACATGGGGTGCATTCATTACTCTTCCACATAAGACAATGTGTGAAGATGTTGCTCTCAAAGGGATATTACGTCATAGTCAACAGAAAGGAATTCCTTGCTCAGTCAACAATGAGAAGAAAGGTGTGAAGAGAGTACAGGTTTGCTCCTACTGGTGCTATGATGTCACTTCCCAATAGCTCCTCCTCTGACCTCTAAAAGCAGAAGAATGTCTACAGCCAAAAATCACAAATAAATAAATATAAAGCAGATAAGAACAGGAAGCAGAAACTTCCAACCTTTAAGGAAGGTACTGGTAATGAAATGAAAATGGATTAGGTCACAGTTAAATTACAAGGATATCTCAGGACTTCTCACCATATTTTTTTCATCTAGGTACATTTAGTTTGCCCTTCCCAGGCCATCAAATCCACAAGATAAAATAGCGTGGACCACCATAATAGCGTGGTCCACAAAAGAATTGAAATCAGCAAAGATATGACTTTTTCAAACAAAAGAACTAATTTCAGCACATCAACTTTTGGAGCACCCAGCTCTAGTAAGTCCTCAAAAAAGAAGCAGGTGCTTCTCATTGTTGGTTTCTATTCTATTATTTTAACAAGTATTTACTTGAGGGAAAACCAAAGATACAAAAACTGAAGACAACATACCAGTGACTATTGTACACAGGTACAATCTACCCAGAAATATGAAATAGGTTTCTACCAAGACAAGATCTTGTAATAGCTGTAATTTGATATCACTGTTATCCACAACAAGGACCTTGGACTTGATTTTTTTAAAAAAGAAAGCTCTTGCTGTACAATTCTTTTGTACTAATAACAAGCTCAATCAGGAGCTTTCTGTCCACACTTACAGTATGCACCACCTGTTGTACCTTTTACTAACTACAGTACTGTTCTACTAACCTATGTATGATATAGATTACTTAATATAAAAGAATAGATTCCAGAAAAACTGTCCAAATGCTAACACCATGGGAATAATTTATCTATATCACTGTTTCTTGCATGCCAAGGTAATAGACCTCTCCAAAATACCTTAGATAGCCAGATACCTCAAACATCTTATTTGTAGGAGGTTTTCCTGGTTGTTTACCTTTGGTCAGATAATGTACTCTCAGTATTGTCTGCACTGAACTTTCCCAATAAGGTGAATGCACACACTTCAGTTCCCTTTTATGGCTATCTTAGTGCTGATTTGTGCATTCAATTCAAGCAGATTATTACATTTTTTAAAACTCAAGTGTCCAAAACCATAGCAGTCAGTCAAGCTAGTTAGCTTGTCATGCCTGTTTCTTATCAACTAAACCATTTAACTGACATTATCTGTTTGTATTTAAACCTAGTCATGAGAGCAAAGATGGTGTGATCAAACAGAAAACATGCAGTAGGAGCTCAAGCTTTGCACCATGCGCTACTAAAAGCCTGTAAAAATGAATGGACTGTCACAGCCTACTCTGTGATAATATTTATTTTTCATATCAGTTTCCAAGCCTGTAGCCTCAAGGGTTTGCATATCTCACACCCCACACATGAAATGCAGAAGTTGTCACATCCATCCTTTTATAAAACCAGGGATCTAAATTAATTACACTTTAAAGTGTAAAGCTCGAAGTTAATAAATAAGTAAACAGATGAAACCATCCCAAGATGCATTTCCTAAAAAATTAACTTTCAAACCCAATCTCACAATTTTCTGGGAAAAGATTTATGACTTTGACTGTGCCAGACCAACAGTTCTACCTACCATGACTGAGGCTGGTAAAGCAGGGTAATGACAGGCATCTGTGGCAGTATGTGTGTTAGCCAGAGCAGAGACTGTGACTGTCGGTGATTGCTCAGGGATTATTATAATACAGACAGTACTGTAATTGTAATATCCACACCCAGTTCTCCACCTGGCTTTTAAAACAGAATGGCAGCACTTTTTACACCAGTTTATACAAATACCCAGAGTACAAGGCAGGGACAAATCAAGTCCTCAGCTACCAAACAACAAACCCTGAACAATGTGTTTTCCATCGCTGAATAAACTCAGGTCCACGGCAATAGTTCTGGCCACATCAGTGTTTGTCCTGAGAGGATGTTCCCAAGAAGCTTTTCATGTCCAGCATTCACCCAAAAGAACAATGAATGCTTTCACCCCATACACTGTTGGGAAAGCTGAACACTATCAGCCTTGCCTATGCAAGCCCCCCATGCACTAATATAAAAACATAGTTTAAAACTGATATAAAAGCATAGCCATTGAAGTTTCCTGATCTGATTTTTCAACTAACTCTAGAGCAACTGAGATATGAAACGTATTAAGCAAGTGACAAAATGGAGGTTACTGCATTTTAAACCACCGTAATCTGGATTCTAGGAAAATAATCTGCCATGCTGAAGCCAAACTGTCTGCATTGCCTATGCTATCAGGGGAAGCAATCAATAGCACTGGTTTTTATACAAGAAAGATAGTTTCTCTCTGTTCACAGTATTCAATCCCTCTGTTAAAGCCAAATATTTTTACTGAAAATACAAATAATACTTTCTATCATTACCTTGGCACCTACTCAAACTCTTAACCCAGACTTCACCAAGTGGCTGCAGTCCTAATGAGTTTACCATACTTTAATGGACCAAAGAGACAAGGAAACTTTATTGCTTAGCTCTGCAAAAGATAGCTAAACATCAGCCTTCAGGTGACAGAAAGAATATACACAAAAAGCACATACCATACAACTGTTTATAACACCAGAACAGGTATATGAAAAGAAAGAAGGGAAAAGATTTTAATGAGATGCCACAGGCTGGAGGCTTTAGCACTTCATACACATTTATATGATGGAGGCAGTGCCAGTTGCATATATTACAGTCATGCATTTGTTCTAATTGTCCCCAAAAACACTGCTGTGGCTGGTCCCATTACTGGTACCAACAGACAAGAAAAAAACCAACCCAAACCAGAAAGGCTAATTGAACTGGCTGCAGAATGGAAGCTTTTGATATACTTTATTTTGCAGTCTTAAGAGGAAAAAAAGTCAAGAGGCAAGTGAGGAAAGATGCTGAGCTCAGTAAAGGTGGAAGAAAGAGCAATTTGTAAGCTGTTACTGGATTTGGGGAAAATAAATGGAACCCTGATTTTCATTCCATAAAACTAAATTATAAGCCATGTCCAGTTGGATCTTAATTCAAGTGGCATTTCACAGAAAGTACCTCAAGAAATACATAATACATGCAAAACTAAAATCACCCTGTTTAAAACGTTGAACAAGGTACATTTAATCCTGTTATCCCATACCAGAAAAGAAACATCAAGAACAAAGGACTAACCATCAACAATACCCACCTGCAGAACCTCATTATGCAAGAGGGATATTTATTTTAAAAAGAAATGTCATATTATTCTCTCAAACATTTCAGTCAGGGAAACTTCTACGTAACTCATAAAACTTATTACACTACCAGGGTAATTTCCAAGATAAAAATTAGTCTGTAAAATAAAATCTACATTGGGTTAATATATTTAAGCAAGTGGTGTTTAAAATGTATCAAACAGTCTTGATTTATTGTGTGAAACGGACTTTGCTATATCCAAAACCAATTTTCGGTGAAAAGAGAAGGATTTATCCTAGTGACATGCAACAGATTGTCACGCTTTCTGACACAGGGAGGAGAAGCAGTATTAGTCTTCATTCAGCTTCTGAAAGTCTTGTTTAAATGGAGAAAGAGTACTCAGGGTTTATCACTGTGAATAGCCAAAGACAAAATGGAGAAATAAAGATGACAAAATATGCTTATTTATAGGGAAAGATGGAATTTGAATGACATAGCTCTGTTCCTTTAGCCCATACTTTGAGTGGAAAATGAAACAAATTTATTTAACATTAATATCATTTGAGATAATGCACCTGCCTTAGTGGAAAATAACTGCACACTTGAACACATGGGTAATCAATTAATTTGAACTAAAAGCAAAACATCCAGGCGAGTGATAGAGATTACACAACTACATATAAGTAAAATGGTGACAAAGCAGCTGTTTCATTTTAAAGTGAAACAGAGTATTTAAATTCACCAGAAGAGCAAACACAGAATTCTGCATCATGTTACATCAGCAGAAGAGGCTACAGGAAGGTTTCAGTTTTCCTCACAATTTCAGTCAAAGAGACTGAAAAAAAAATAAGCACAACACACACAAAAGCAAAACAGAGGCACACCCTTGCAGCAATACAGACTGACTTTTGCTGCCTGTGCTAAGGCAAACATTATTTTCAATTTAAGACCTCACAACTTTACCTCTCAATAGCCACACAAATTTCCACACAACAGAACTGAGGAGTAATGGGGTGGGAAAAGCTGTTTGGCTTGAACTCCTACCCTAAGAATAGGACAGTCCAGATGAACAAAAGTCTAAGTCACTAAGTTCATGTCACTAAGTCACTAAGTCACTAAGTATATGGCTTCTTGACCTTTGAGGCACCCACTTACATTGGCAGACACAACAAAAAGATAACAGAATCAGAAAACATATCAATCCTTCTCCTTTCACACTAAATAAATAAACTAAAATAAAAATTAAAAAGAAAAATGTTGTAAACTGCTCCTATTTTCCAAGGACTATACTTTTAATTATGTTACATTTCAAGACCTACCACAGCTAAAAGGCGGAATACACTAGCTTTGTTTTCGAGTCAAAAGACAGCACCCAGAATAAACATGGGAGGTTTGCAGAGATGTACATCTACTCTCCACTCAAAAATAGATTCTCAAAAGTTTATAGGGGCATATTAACCCATAATAAAGATAAATATTTTTTATATTTTAAAGCCCAGACAAGTTTTTTCTCAAACAGCTAAGACACATACACACACTTAACTCCATCCACAAGTTCGACTAAAACGCGTGTGACTTCTGTCACAGATGAAGCTGAGCATACCCATGTAATCACACGCAGAACTGCAGCTTGACATCTCTATTACTAAATTCCAGGAAACATCCATTATTCTAGGCACGACTCCTGTGATCCATGCTTAATCTTACACACTTCCTCTAACACCTGCAAAAATTTCCAGCTTTCCCTGACATCTTCAGCATGCAGAATAGGTTTCCAGCTCAGACATTTGAGACATGCTAAAATTGCCAAGGGCGTGGCACTAACTTCTGTTCCTCTTAATATCAAAGTAAAGGGATACTGCTCTTGAACTGAGAAGACGATGTACAAGAGAGACGCCTCGGGTCAACAGCCTGAATACCGGGATACTAACCAAGATACACAGGTATAAAATTCTTTTGTGAGATACAGGTCTCCTGAAAAGAAACATGTTGTCACTGCCTGTTTTCAAACTTCCTTTTCAGCCTTTACGTTAGACCTACACGCATGGGGTTTTATCATCTTTAAGCCACAGCAACTGGAGTTTTTATACCCTGTTAGGTTTAGATATAAACACTGACCTAAGGCAAAAGACACAGTCCATTCTGAGAGATCTTTGAGGATGCTGCAGCAGTTCTGAGTAAATCGCAGAAGACAAAATGAACCCAAGATCAAATAAGACATCTCTCCACAGGCTGACTAGACAAGGACTTACCTGTTTGTTGTGTTCTTTTGGGGTAAGTCTTGCTGCGACTTCTTTCAATGCTCTGGTCAGGCCGCGGGAGCTGCACTGAGGGGTCTCTGGTCATTCGCAAAGACGTTTTGCCACTTAAAAACACAAAAAAAGTAATGGGAAAACACCTGGAAAAGTTATCAAAGAAACAGGATCTTTAGACTGGAAAAAAGCTGTACGGGTTTTGGGTAGCATGTTTTGTTGCTATTCTCTTCTCATCCCACCTCTGGTTCTGCTGAGTAGCACTATCCTGAATTTTGGGTTGAATCAGTTGTTGGCAAAATCATCAAGAGATTAGGCCAACCTCTTCTATATTTTGCATTTTCAAGAGGAGTTAAGCCACTAAAACAAAATGTTGTTTTGTTAGGAGTAGGTGAAAATAGCGTGAGCTTGTCTAACTTAGAATATTCTAACATATGACTTTCTTAAGCAGTTTGATTTCTTCCTGAATTCCTTCTGTAAGTTTTCACCTCAGGAAAACTTATTTAATATTGTTCAGTTCCAGCCAGTAAGGGGATACTTCTCTGCCATGTAGAATGACAACTTCAAAGACTGCAAAACAAACTGTAATAAAGGACTCTCACTAGCCCAGACCCAAACTATAACAAATTGAGTAAAAGTCCTGATTCCCACCTACAGTAAGGCTCTTCTTCACTGCACAACTTACATAAGCTATTAAGTTTAAATACACTATTTTATGCTCATTTTAATGTTCCTCTCCATGTGACTAAACAGAATATAGTGTTCATCAAAAAAATGTAAAATAGACCTCATATTCCTCCACAAAACTCCATTTTTGCTTCTGGAAACTTACTACACAAAAGAAGTAAGTTTTACTATTAACTCCCTTGACATCTGCAGTTTCATGATTTTGAAGTAACAGGTACTGTACTAGAAAGTACTAAGCAGTTATATAGGTTTTACATACGGAGACTTCCTGAGTTATGTGAATAGACTCCATTAAATACTGATTGTATTTTCACCAAAAGCCCTACATATGTAGTCAGCACTGCAGAAATTTTATCTTCTCAAGCTTGTAAAATAATTAATGGACAAAAATTCCTGAATTCTAACACTACATCACAGTAATGCTTTTTTTGTTTTTGTATTCATTTTAATGGATGCTCCCAAGTTAGCCAGAAAGCGCTTCTGCTCAACTTCTAAGTTTCGGAACCATGACAGTCTTGCAAATAGCAGAAGCAGTTTTAACTGGGGAATAGGATCTTCCACTCCCCCTAATACTTCCAAAGTATCTGATCTTAAGACAAGGAAATTGCTTTCCTGGAAACTATCTGCCACATAATGAGAAATGCCTACAAGATTAAAAAAACCCTACGCACACAAAAAAACCCAAAAGACCCCCCAAACAACAGCAACAATAACAATAAAAAAACAAACAAAAAGAAAAACAAAACAAACAACAACAAAACCAAAACTCAAAACACACAAACAAACACGAACAAGAAACAAAGCAAACAACAACAAAAAAAAATAAAACACCACACCAAAACCTAAAAGATCAGCCAAAAGACAATATTATGGTCCCCACACATACACAGACAAATGGTGGGATGATGGTTTCTGCTTTAAGCTAATGATGTGTACAGATACACAACATTGTCATTGCTTTCTGTGCTACAACAGAGTCTGAAGGCAAAGAGGAAAGACAGTCAAAGCTGATGGATATGCAAAGCAAAGCAAAGATTCTCAAATAACATGAAAATGCTGTAACTACTGCACTGATTTATCATTAACAACCCCCATTTACTAGAACACCCACTCAGGTCAGGGGGACTCCACAAGAAATCACTGCAGCAATACAGGGAAGACTTCATACTAGAAGGGAAATACATATTTTAGTGTTTTCTAGATAAAACTAAGATTATAAACACAGCTGTCGGTAATGCCCATCATACCAACATGGCAAGCCATATCACAGGTCACCCTGGAAACTTATTAAAAAATAAGATTAAACTAAGTGCACCACCAAGAGCGATAGTTCAGACATAGGTAAATGTTGCATGGCATGTTTTCTTTTTAATTTATTGGAAAGTTCTTGTCAGTTCAAAACTTTCTCCTCCCCAGCACCAGTGGCCTCCTCCAATCTGCTGAAATGGTCCAGTACAGAAAGTTCATCTGCAGTACTCCCATGAACTTCTATTCGCTGTTACAAATGGGGTAATGCAGGTCAGGATCCAACTAAGAAACCCAAAAGGCTGTACAATCATTTCCCTGTTATCTGCAGAAAGGAGAAGCTGGATCATGCCAGATAATGTTATAACCCAAATAGTCCGGATTACAGAATACATACAGTGATCCTTTTTGAAGACCAGATTCAGTCACACGAGCTCAGACTCAGAACTGGCACTACAAGCAAGATCTTACATCCAAGTGTAACAGCTGAGTATGAATTCTGATTGACTGAGAGCAAGTGTAAAAGAGCTACTATTATACACAGCTATTAGTACCTACCACAGACACTAACTGCAATTCAGGAGCTGCTGGAGAAACTGTTTTCAGACTTGTTTTCACAAAAGTCTTCCTAAGAGGCAGTGTGGTGGTTTGAAACTCCCAAGAATCTAATTTTTAAGTTCAAGCCCCCCCCCTCCCACAGTTTGCCCCTGTGAGAGGGTTTAGTGATGGTATGGACTTGATCTCTTTTCACATCATGTGGAGAGTTTTCAGACAAAACACAACCATTCATTATTGGGGGAAGGGGAAAATATTTACAGAGGTTTATTTACACCCACGTATATATTTACATTAAATTAAATTTCTCCTTTTCTTCAATAAAAGTCCAAAAAGAAAAGAGAAAATCATTCTGTCACTTCTCAGGCCACAGTTCCTTCATTTCAGTTTTCTTGTGGCACTGGATAGTGTCCTCCACTTTTTCCAAGGTAGCAGATTTAAGTACAGCAGTCAGAATTTTGTTCTTACTTTGTGGAAATTCCAACCCCGAGCCCGAGCCTTCGGGGGATTTTCCTTGGAGACCTTCACTCCTCTTGGGTTAGAGCATTTAAGGCAGCTTTCAGTTCAGTCTTACCAAAGCTCTTTTGCTCTGTCTCAGCTTGCCAGCATGATAGAAACAGCAGCAGCAGCAGCAGCAGAGGGCACGGCCACCTCCTCTGCATTCTGTCCCGGCTCAGCTCTCAGGACGAGTCCAGGTTTTTTCAGCTCCTTTCTCTCTCTCTCTCTAGCTGCTGCTGCATTTTGGGACTCCCTAAGGGTTTGGAAGTCCAGCCCTCCTCTTCAGGAAGTCTCTGGGTTTTTGGGAAAATAATACAGTCTTACCCTAAACCAGCTCTGTTGAGTTTTCCTGTGTTTTGTTGCCAGCTCTCCCTCCTGCAGGAACATCTCTGCGTCTTTCAGCCGGCTTCACGTTTCCTCTTTGCTACTGGCTATCTTTTGGCTTTTAGCCATCGCTGTCTCTGTTCAGGACTGCTCCGCTGCCACTTTCAATGTCTTCTGCTGCTGCTGACAGTAAGGAAACTTTTCCAGCTCTTGATTATGGGACCCGGTCCAGCTTTGACACTATACCGGATCTCCCGTAGCCTCAGCTGGGGGCTGGAGGCCCTTGGCCCCCAGAGGGGCTCACTGGCCCCCTGCCTCCTCGTGGGTCAGATCATGGCCACCTACCTTCTACACTATCTTCACACCCTTCTCTTCCATTTCTGTGGGCATGTAATTTCCATAGGGTGCATGTGGACTATTGATTGGTCCAGTATTATCAGTGAGGCAAACCATTACTACCTCAGAGAAAAGGTTTTTCAAACCACCACAGGCAGTGACAAAGATCTGCCTAACTAATGATTTACTTAATCAACCTTACTCATTATGATCCATGTATTTCATCTATGTATTTCTTGAGTGATGGTGAAAACAGTGCTCCCTATACGCTCTTAGGCTGAAGTTTACAGCATCTTCATGGCTTATAGGCTTCACCCAATTTTGCCACCTATTCCACTCAGAAAAGATACACCCTTGTTTTGGTATTCCCTACTTGTCAGGAAAACCCCTTTAGGATATGAACATAATTTCAGGACCTATAGGGAGACACTGATTTCAAGCACTTCCAAGGCTGCTCTCACTTTGACTATGGACCTTAACCAGTTCTGGGGATCTGGAGAATGAGAAGAAACTTACATTTGTCCCCAAACTGCCAGACTCCCAAGGAGAGCCTGTAAAAATGGCCTTGATTCATGCTTTGTCTTCAGAACTGCTTTGGGTCATAGTCTGTGTGGGGTTTTCTTTCATTGGAAGGAAAGAGGAGAAAAGAATGAATGAAGAAGGAATGAACTGAAGTTTAAACAATTACATAAATTCACCTGTACCGATGTTTATAACCTATGGATCCAAACTTGCCGACTTTTCTTGACAGAGAGTTTGATTCATTCTCTGGTACTCTGTGTAGTTTGAAAAATAAAACAACAGAATAAATTACATAGCTAGGTCTCAATTATGGTTCCCTTCCCAATTCAAGAAAAGAGAATACAAACTTTTGACTCGAAAAGATATTATTTTCTGCCAGTTCCTCTTCATCCCTACCTCCAGACAGACTCTTTTGGGGCTGAGAGTCCCCCAAAGCCACTTGTTTATCCCCTCTTCTTTTGTCTACATATCTTTTTATTTCAGAGTCAAGTGTAAACTGCTGGCACCAGCAGCCTTTCACTTAATATTTCACAGAAGCAGGAAAACCCACCATGCCACAGTAGTGAGACTGAAGGAGGGATTCTGAGTTTATTACTTTACAGTACTGCTAAAGTCAACCCCAAGCACACCTGGGTTCTAATTAGACCTGCACATTTCTCTTGGCATTTTTGCAACAGTAAAATAAAGTACTTTGAGTACTATTGGGAAGATTTTATACACTCCAACAAGTAAGCAAAACATTATGGAAATTCAATGAGTTTCTATAAAAAAAACAAAACCAAAAACCAACCAACCAACCAACCAACCAGAATTCTGTGCACTGTAGGAAATAGTAGTGTCTGAAATCCAAAGGCCTCACTCAAGCCAATGATGCTATAGAAAATTTGATGGATAAATACGTAAAAATCTATATGGCAGCTTAAATCCTGCCACATACATTTGTGGACACTTCCGTTAAAGCCTAGTCTGTGAAACCTGAAATATTGTTTTTAAAAGAATGCTAAGATAAAAGAAACCACCAAATTACCCTATTTTAAAATCACTCTTTCACATCATTGTAAGAAAAGGGAAGGAGTCGGTTTTTAAGAGCATTCTATAACCACAAGTAAAATTGTGTTTCCAGACAGCAAGCCTACGTTACAACACTCTGTATGTATAATAAGGTTCTCATTCAGTGTAGTGGCCCTAAGGAAACCACAGTTTCTCTATCACTTACCTGAAAAATGTATGATGCTCTACACAGCATTTCCAGAGATGTTTGCAGGTGACCTTGTTACGTGCTTCAAAAAAGAAGGAAGTTTCATTGCACTGAAAACAAAACAAAACAAAACAAATCAGTACTCTTATGAGGGATTCTGCCAGTGAAGTGAATCTCATCTGTTGAACACAAGAATCAACCATCTCCTATCAATCCACACATGAAAAGAAAACAATGTGAAGAAAAGGAGGTTCTATAATTTTGTAGAATTCTTTATGTAAAAGTGGTTTACTTTTTGAAAAACAGAAGAGAAAGGAGATTCTAGAAACACTTCTGTTCCTTCATTCTTATTTGCAGACTCAGCTTTTTTCCTAATTAAAACACACAGGTTTTTTTTTCAAAAATTATGTTTCTGATGTTTTCTGAAACTGCAGCTCAGATGTCATTCAAATATATTCTCTTTAACAGTTTACAAAAGGGCAAGAATAAGAGAAAGAAACACAGAAATCCAAAATTTATGATAAACTAATATGAAGGAAAACCACAGAAAATGCACAAAACATACATATAAGAAGAACCAAGGTTCTGGGAAAAAGAGGGGATGGAATTTTTTTTTAAAAAGCTAACCTCAGAATAATTAAAAATGCTAGGAAAAATGTTAAAGTCATAAAATCCACCTTAAAATCTCTTAAGGAAAAAAAATATTCACAGCTCAGAACCTAATCTCTGGGAACTGGCAGAGAAAAGAGAAGTGAAACATATATAAACTACAAAATACTCCCAAAAGACAAAATGAAGGAACAGACACATCACGCTGCTTGTTTTCATCAGGCTAAACATTCAAATATATGCACAAATAATACACTTTCATATATTTGTCACATGGTAAATATAAGTGCTCAGTTTTGTATCTGTGATTTGCACAAAGAATGACTAGTCCCACTCAGGTCAGTGTGAGACCTCAGCATAGTACACCACCATCTGTAACAAAACTGAGCAGTATGATTCATACCACTGTCAGCAGCCAATTTTAGGAAATCTGTGCCCTTGCATTAGTTGTACTTCTGCAGTGCCATCCATATGGCAGAGTTCTGGCAGGTTTCTCCCACTCCCTATTTAATGAGGTATGAAGAACTGCAAGCACCTTGCAAACTGTGAACTAATTCAGTATGTTCTCTAGAATTCAAAATTTCACCTATAACAAAAAAAAAGATTATATCTCTATTAACAGCTGTCAACCAGCCTCACAAAATCACATTTACCCTCCTCAGGGTAAATGTGAAGCAGTCTTTCCTTCATCTTGAAACAAATAACAGTAAAAAAGACAAAATTTTGCACCTGTGGTTAGAATAATTGAGATTTCATCCACTGACCAAAAAAAAAAAACACCAAAACCAAAAACAACCGCCAAAAAAACCCCCACTAATTGAAAACATACACACGAGCTTACTTTCTTCCATGCCTTATTTTAATTAAGTGGCTGGCTGGAACAGTCCCACAGAACAGCCAAGGAACAAAAATCATTCTCTAGTCTCCCCTCAAAAGCACATTTTCCTCTGCAGGACATCACATGAAGAAAGAAGAGTACAGGGAGTATAGTAGAACATATGACCACTGAGAATGCTGAAACCCAGCATTCATCTGATTCTGTTATGCATATTATATAATGATTCTGTAGTACATTACTCCCATAAACACATTCCTACAGTTCCTCTAAATACAATTTCAGTTTTGATGGGGTCATCATCTCTCATTTACAGGAATTAAACAGTTTAACTTATAACAAATACAAGTTTAATTTATAAAAAGTATAATTCAAGATTCCTGAAGACTCTTGAAGATTGTTGAGGAGAAAAATAATTTACTTCAATAATAACCATATTGCTTTTGTTTCTCTGACAACTAGAAAAAGAGTCTGTCCACTGAAAGATCGTAATGCATTTTTACATTTTAAAACTTTTAAAGAAAACATGTCAAGAGGTACTTCACATTTGCATATCTTACACATAGCAGAACAGTAGCTTCAGATTTCATGATCTGATTTACATTACAATTTCTATACCAGACTGTCATCTGATGTGATTTCATATAAACCCTCATATCTACAGTCATCTTTTAAAGAATAATATCAAGTCAGGCCTGTAGTATTGCAAACTTTATGCAATATGATGACTCAATTTAGCTTCTGTTGGGGAAAAAAAGTCAATAACTCACTTTTAATATGCATGATCTCGCTCCTTCTTCATCCACTCCTAAATTTTACTTTTAGGCAAAGAATCCTCTGCTGTATTTAAATTTATTTAATTTTATAATTAAATATATTATTTAATTATATAATTATATAATAAGGAGAGAGTTTCTGGGATGTCAGAGGGCAGAGAAAAGCCAGGGGTGATTTTTTATTTTTTTTTAAGGTAATTTTTAAAAGAAAGTATTTTTGCCACAACTTACTATTAGACCAGTTTGAATGCCGCTGGCATTCAGTGAAAGATTCCCATCAGGGAAAAGATTGATGATTAACTACATGCTGAAACATCTAAATTTAGTATTCAGCAATCAAATGCACTCAGGGAAAAAGCATAACCCTATAGATCCAATTTATCAAAAAGTTATGGAATTCAGAAATGGAAAGTGATACGATATGCCTAAAAATCATGGGATGGACCGACTAGCCTTCTCATAACACACCCAGGTTTATTTATTTGAATTCAAAGTTAAAATACATGCCTGGAAACTATTGCCTCAAAATGGATGCTTGTAATAAATAATGCAATTAAATTTTGCTAAAGAAAGAGAAAGAAAGCCTAAAACACTCATCCCCGATGCCAACACAGAGGACACAATTCAAATTCTTTCACCATTTCTCACCTTATCTGCGAAGGATTCAGTAACTTACTGCGACTAAGTCCAACACAACAGTGCTTACAGCACATCTACATTTGGGACTTTATTTACTTTTTAAGACTATTTAAGTCTTGCAAGAGTACTGCCATTACCCTCACAATTTATAAATGCACATATGAAAATTAAGCAGTACTGAAAACAGTAATATCTTTGAGGTTTAACGTCTCTCCCCTAAGAGAACAAATTGATTTGTACAGGTAAAGCGAGGATGACCTCACCTGTTAAGACTCTGAAATTCTGTTTTCAATAAAAAGCAACATTTTTAGCATTTGGAACATTGTGGTTTCCTACACATAGTGGGTGTTAGCTGGTTTTTTTTCTTACTATTCCCATATATCTGAACCAAAAGACACAAAGACCTATTATACATTTTACTAATGAGTTATAGGAAATGACAATTCTAAACTCATTCAGTGTTGTTTGGTGCCTCACAAACTTCCACAGGTTACTCATCCTGTTGCTTTCAGAGTGACCAGTGTATTAAAGGTGAGGCACTGTAAACCATGAAATCTCACTGCTTCCAGAGCAATCCTAGTCATCTGAACACTAAAGACCTCCTCTCTCCTTTGAACCATTTTGGCGTTCGACTATTCTTTCAGGAAGCCCATTTTGCTCATCAAACAAGTAGAAAACAACTTATTTTTGTGTGGTTATTTTCAATCCCATCTGTGACTTGCACAAGCAAAGGAGTGGACAGGACAATGGGATCAGAGGCTGAAAAAGGACAGGCACAACCCTTGCAGCAGTGTCCAGCTGTTGAGCTGTTTGACTCACCTCCTCCTAATCTTGAAAAGGGCACACACTAAAAAAATGTGAGGATAAACATAAAACATTTGTCTCCTTTTAGATGCTTGAAAAACTTGTCTTGTAATCTCCAAAACATGCTAAAGCTCATAGCGCCATAATCTCACCACCGTTTTCACCCATAGGAGGAGAGAGAGACTAGAATAGTGGATGCAGATAGCCTGACTACACCACGAGCTTATACACAGATGGACACCCAAACCTGTAGCCACAGTCCTCTGCTTTATGCTACCCCTCAATTCACCCAGAAGACTGATCTGGCAGGGCCTTTAAGATCTCCACTAAAGAGCTGGCAACTGGTGCAGTGCTACATCACAATGCCTCCATCCCTTAACTGAAAGACTGAAAGCAGGTTACCAATGCCTTCAAAGGAGACAAGTAAGAGGGGTCACTGCTCTGCCTAACCACAAAATGCCTCTGGAACTGGTGGAGCAACAACACTAGTCCAGGAATGCCCACACTGTGCTTTGCAAACAGCTCTCAGCTTGCTTTGCCACGCCGGTCTGATCACACAGCTTTCAAGCTCAGAGCTACTTTGTGCCCAGACAGCCCAGTGCCCCCAGCTGGAAGAGAAGACACACACTTAGAATGACAGTTCTTCCCCCCTGGGGGCCAGAAGATCCCTTGTTTGTGAAGTCTGTGGATTAGTCCAAAGAAAAGAGGGTCACATCAGTCTTACGTCCAGTCCTCTGCACCCACCTACGGAGCAAAAACAAGGTGAAAATCTATGATTCAGAGCAGGCTTTAGCCGGTATAATTTATGACAAGACATATATGGGATCCCATTAATCCAGGCTCAGAAAATTAATTAAGAAAGCCCCAAAAGCACAGTGGGAACCCTGCCAGCACACCAGCACACACATCATTCTTCCCAGTCGCACTGACCACTAATGTAACATAAGGAGGGATCTTGCCCCATTACAGAGCACATTGTATGTTCAGGTACTACACATTCACGTACATGTAACAGAAATACTAACACTAGCTCTGAAGCTACTATTTCACAACAATCCTCTTTGCCAGGTTAGGCATCCACCTGAATATTATTAATTGTTAATTTCAATAGAAAATACTCTGTCTTTATATATTTACATAATGCATACCAGTCATAGCTTATGTAACAGATAATGTACTATTAGTCATTAGACGAGCTCATCTTAAGAATGTCGTATCAAGTCAGGAATTAAAATTAATAAAGCTGTGCCATTTGCATAAAGTATGTCAAAATTGCAGTAAACATATCTCTGCCTTGTATTATACTAATTAAAAATTACTAAAGAAGAATTTTTTAAAAAAAGCTGAGAGTAACACCTTAGTGGCAATGAATTTAAGTTTATGCAGGCCTTGAACCAATCTTACAGTCCTTCTAAGATGCCTCAAAAAGTGGTTAAGAAAAGACAAGAGAACACCCAACCAACCAAACCAAACTAAATATGACATATTAATACCACTGTGCTGGCTCACCTCCATCCTCCACTACCACTCAGACTTAAGTAGGTGCAAATGCAAATGATACAAAAGTCACTTGAAATTCTTAAACCATAAGGAAGATCAAAATGCTATTTTTGTCTGGAAATTGTACATAAGCTAAATTGGACTTAAGACTGGAGGAATATACCTTCAAACCCTGTTCAGTCTTCCCAAGAAATTGTAGGAGCAATATATCAAATTAAAAGTTCCTGGCTAGAACTTGTAACTCAGTATGGAATATAGCATTTGATAGGAGAAGAAGAGGTACAGCTGAAGCACTTTATTAATATAATTATTTTTCATATTTCTAACACTTAGGAAAAGCAAATTAAAAAAATAAAGCATATTTACAGGATTTTCTGAGACTATTTAAAAGAACAGAAAAATACTGTATTTAGACAACTTTCAGCCACCAAAATGGGGAGTATTACATACTTCTGATTTGCATCAGTGTTTGGTATTGCTCTTGAAGAGTCTTTACCAATTTCACTTTATGAATTCAGCTGAGATAGGCTTCTTCACCTGAATATGGCAGACTGTAAAGGAAGGCATGTCTTGAAAGTGTGTAAATCATTTTCAACTGCACAGTTTTGGAGGTTGTTCTGACTTAAAACACCCAAATTTCAAAATCTCTTGCAATATAAAATTCAGAATTCAAAAAGACCCTCCTTTACAACAAAAATAATGAAAGCAAGCGCTTTGCACATTGAATGCTTTCTGGTTTGGTGAATGAGAAACATGAAAAACATGAAAAGCTTTGCATAAACTCTGTGAAGAAGTGAAATCATTCATGTGCATGTTCAGACACAGTGCAACTGAAGTAAAAGGTGCAGTTATAGAAAACAGCATGGGGTTGTGGGGAACGCACAGAAGTGCTTGGTACCTACAGGCAAAAAAAGCCCCACATCTCTTACTCCTGTATATTATTACATTTACATTCCCAGCCCACACACTCTATTAAAGCATGTTTTTTGGTGTTTTGTTTCATGTTCTTAGTTGAGAGAAAAATCTAGGGGAGCCGGCCATGTTCTTCACATGGGGGAAGTAACAGAAGGTGTGCTGTGCACCCTTTTGACTACTAACTTCCACTGTGAACAAGCTCTGTTTTGCTGGTGGAGAGGGAAGGGCTTTGGCAGCCACCTATATTGCTGGATTGTTTCCAGCAAGGTTGCTCAACAGACATCTATCCCTACCAGGAATTGTGCACAGGTGCTAGATGGATTTCTGTTTTCCTAAAGAAAACTGTAAGAAAATAAAAACTTTTCTCATTTTCACAAATTTTTTGCAATTGTTTGTCATGTTCAGGGAGTCCTTCTGTGCAGTCCTTGCAGGGAAAGGGTTCCTATTTTCATGCTGATATTTAGAGGTGCCACAGAAAACCTAACATGTTTATAGTTCAGAATTCACAGCATGGGTCCACTCAGGGGACAATGAAATACTCATTGAATGATTAACATCAGTGAAAGAGTTTCAGTCTCACATGTCAGGATAAGTCATGGACTGACAAATATTAAAGGCGGTATTTTGTTTATGAAGGGGCAATAGCCTCAGGGACAAAACATAATACAAGGAAAGTTGTGAAAGATAAAACAAAAATACTGATGGTCATGCTTGTACACAATAGCAACAGGTATGCAGGAAAAAATGCAAGGAAGTTAAATATACAGGAATTTCTTTTCATGGAAGAGATATGAAGGAGTACAAGAGGTTACACTACAAAACAGAAAAGGCGAAGCACCTTACTTCATTATCAGACACTAAGCAACAATATTTCCACTCAGTAAACATCAAGTTTATGAAAAGTGAAGCAATGTAAACAACAAAATGAGCAGCCACAAGCAGGGCTGACACAGACATTCCACAGCGTGGTTTTTAGGCAGCCTAATGATATGGACCTGTACGTTTAGACTGCCACATCTGTCATCTGTCAAGAATATCTGGATGCCCATTTCCACTCCATTCTGGTAGGTTTGAAAAAATCTCAAAAAATTCTCAGGAAGAGAAAATAAAGAAGTTACCACAAGGGAAAAAGCAGCACTTCACTGGTACTAAATGCACCAACAGCTTCCTCTTGATGAGCAGGGGTACTCATGAAAGGTGGCTGTCAGCGTGAATAAAGGCAGTCAGTGTGTGTGGAAACATGAACCAAAATACACCCTGCACAGTTTTCATTACCATATGGAAAACATGATTCACACAAAGCACTCGATTCACTCAGAAATAATCTGCTCCATTAGATGGTGTTAGCTTCCTCACTATATGCCATAAAGTTCCATTCGAGAAATGAGAAAATCCCTATTATTTCTACTCTTCCTGAGTATTTTCTGGAGTTCTCTCCAGCTAACTGGAAACATGTAAAACATTCCAGACTTGATATAGCACATCTGATACAAGGAATGTATTCATTCCCTGGGCTGTAAAGTGATATCTCTGGAGGAAGGATGGAGTGAAAATGGCACATTTCCTCTCCTACCATATAGTCATGTCCCACACGGAAGGACAAAGTGATGGCATTTATTCCAAAAAACCCATGAATTTGCAAATTAATTTTTCAAGGAGTATTGGAACATACATTCATACAAATACACTGATGAGCTTTTTCTCCTCTGGGTATAGAACAGCATAAATTGTTACAACAGCTTTACTCTAGAGATTAAGGATACTGTTTACTTATTTCAAGATATAATTTTTTTCAAAGTACCACCAGACTCTTAACAAAAAGGGAAAAGAAGATCTTTCTGTGCCATTTTGGTCTTTCCTGATCTTCTTAGGATATGAAGCACTGTAGAAACACTTCAAGTCACTATTAGATGCCAAGGAGATTTTAATGATGGTACACACCCTTGTACTTACCGTTCATTTGAACAATTTCCTAGAAGTACCTGTCAAGGCTTGAAACTACTAAATTCTGTTGAAATGTCTGCCTTATGATCACAATAGTAAGTGTTCACCAGCCATCAACATTCACAGTCTCAAACTAGGTACATTTTCTAAAGCTTCCAGGTTTTCTACTTGGCATGTTAAAACTTTGCAATTGCACATGGTTCAGACAAAAACTATAGAAATAAGGCATCAAACAGAAACTGCAACTTCACTTCCAAGCAATTAATTCAAAGTTAAACTCGAACTTGTAAAAGGTAAAAGTAAAAGGTGAACTATACACTATACATGACCTATCATTCACCCTTTACATGAAACATTGCGACAAGTTTTCCCACCCTTCCCTCCCCCAGCTTTCCAACAGCTCTCCTATTTCAACAAACACACCATCAAGAAAGAAAATCTACAGATTACCACACCAAAGCACTTGGGAGTATCAAAGGCAAAATTTGCCAATACATCTGTGGAGACAAAAAACACTGTCTGTGACAGAAGCAAGACAACCAGTCAGCGGTACACTTATATTTCACAGAATGTACTCAACATACCAAAAGGTCTCACGGAAAAATCACAGATGAGACTGACAACCACTATATAGGTGAACAAAGACACATAAAAAACAGTAAAGGGGATTACTGCCAGCAGGTTAATACCACTTAAAACCATAAACTTTCAGTCCCGATCTTCCAAAGAGACATACAAAGTATTTTCAAAAAATAATTCCTCAAACTAAACTTGTAACTAAATCAGATACCAAAATTCATAGACTGACTGCAACTATTTGCTTTATTATACTTCATTATTTTTCCTACATCCTCAACACTTCCTCCTTCCCCCTACGCCACAGGCTTCATAGGTGATTAATTTCTTTGTCTTTTTTACACTGACTCTACCTTAAAACCTCCTCTCCTGCTATCGAACTGTTGTACTTGCTCCACTGGAACCAAGATTGCTTTCTCTCAAATGGCCTAACAGCGCACGATGTTAAATTCTGACAAATAGGTTTCAAGCGGTATAATATGGCTGCTTGTGTCCTAGCTACAAAATTACTTGTGCCCAACAGCTTTTTGAGTTTTCCTTCATCCACATTTTTTTAATATTAGCTTTCCCTGCATCCTAGTTCAAAAGCACTTTAAAAGCACTTCCACAATACCAAGGCATTGCAGAAGTGTCTGATTTACAGAGCGCAATGTAAAATGATAAAAATTCGTTATAAAATTCCTACTTCGGTACTGCTGAAGTTCTTTCCCCTTGCTACAAAGCGTGGACAGAAAACCTTTCTTTCATCTCTCCCTGCAAGCCACTTCAGGAACATTCAAGGACAGGCTGGGTGGCGCTTTGAGTAACGTGGTCTAGTGAAAGGTGTCCCTGACCGTAGCAGTGGGTTTGGAATGAGGTGATCTTTGAGCTTCCTTGCAACCCAAACCATCTTACAATTCTAGGATGTTGCACTTCAGGATAATGTTATTTTCTTGCAGTAATTATCAATACAATGAATTTCACTTTGATGATTTCTTACAGTAAATTTCAATAAAATAAATTAGACTTTGATGGACATATACAATTTCCAATGTCATTAGACCTGAGATTACTTCTTTATCCTTACAGGCTTAAATAAAAACTTACATCTTTTCCCAGGACTCTAAGTTCAAACTGTGTTTCCTTGAAGTGAACTTTTGTAATTCTAGGCCTGTAATGTTGAGGAGAAAAAAAGACAAGACAGAACTTCATGAGCCTTTAATTTCATGCATCATAAAATATAAAGTTGCATATATTTACACACAAAGACAAAAACGAATTCACAGGTAGGTTTATTTTTCAGGTATGACCCAGATATCAGCAAAAAATTAGTGGTATGTAAACATTTCAACGAGAGTATGGTAAAGGTGATCTACTGTTTTCAATACCTGGATTATCAAAGAATTAAAAATCTGCATAATCCAGAGAAATATTAAGAATTTCAAGTATACTTTTTTCTATTGCTATAATTAACCTTTCAAAGAGATATCACAAACCATACATTTCCATACAACACTAGTTTTGTGTTAGTGCAGACTGCACATTTAAATAATACATACCAGAAATATTTTCCTACTTGTTTTTTATTCTTGTAGACAACAACTCCTATGGGTGTTAATCCTAAAAAGTATTCAGATTTGTTTTCACCCTAGAAAATAAAAGTGTACGTCATTCACACAGTTGCAAGTTTTATCACAATAGCACTGAGGTCCAGTGAGGAAGTCATCCTGATGACTTGAATATAATGGTTTTGCTCTCTGTGCAAACGGGAAAACAGTACTTGATCTACAGACAAGATCCTATACAAGACTTTGTATGCAAGGGGGCAATGAGGCAAGAAAGAATGGCAGTGAGGGAAAGAATGAGAGTTTCCACATGCCATGGTGAAAACCAAAAATAACTATTTTTTTTTTAATATGGAATTACTTTTGGCTATTTGGCAGATGGCCAAAACTCAGAAACTAAACTCTTTATTGAGGTATGAATGTAACAGATATCTCAACTTTCAGCTAAAGGAAAATAGCAATTTTCTGATCTATTCTACTATGATACAACCACACAGCTGCCCTCTCCAGCCTAAACTAGTGTCAGTTGCACACTGCTAAAAAGTGAAGTAGCTCCTTTGGGAGAGACAAGCTTTTTTTTTTGTCATGTTTTGTTAAGAATGGGCAATGGCATACAGGGAACAGCCACGTGCATCATCTCCTCCAAAGGAAACCATTCCTGAAATCAGTATACAAATAAATCTGAGAGAGAACAGAGTAAAAATGCTGGTGCTGAGGGGTAGAAAGTGCCCACCTCTGCAGTTTATGGTCAGTAACCAAAATCAGAAGCACCCTACACTTGAAAGAGTGCAAACCTTAGTGGATGAGGTTAAAAGAAAGTTAACTGAAAAAGCTCATTCATCTGCCCACTTTAGGCAACCAGGAAGAGCACTGCAATCTCTAAACTAGTGGAGCATGAACAGCAAAAAACCACTAATCGTGAGACAGACTGACTGTGGAAAGTGCCCTGTGTAATTACAGACCTTACGAAGTCAAGCACACCTGGCAAGTTCTGACTGTGCTCCTCAGTGAATTAACTGCTAAAGGTGACTTTACTTTTAATATGATCAAATGAGAAAAAAAATACATCTCATCATGTGTGTGGCTTCAGTCTCAAATGAGGGCTTCTGCTGCTGCTGTAATATAAGTAGGAACAATGATTAGATGGATTAGACTTGGGCATACTGGAAATCATCCCTCACTACCCAGGCAGGGATTTCATTGCACAGTAAAAGCAAGCCATGAGGAAAAAATAAATTCCAAGCTCTGTTAATTTAACATGATTTTTTTGAATTATGTTGAATCTTGCTCCAGTTCACTCCCCCAGTTTTCTATGGGTGGGAGGGGCACAGAGCATGAGATATGAATACAATTAAGCCACAGGGTGCATTAAAAAATACTTTATATTGCAGGCTACACATTTTTCGACAGGAAATACACATTTAATCTTCTGGTAGTATCTTGATTTCTTTATTTTTTTTCAAGCAATTTTACTAAGTGTTAATCTAACTCAGTGAACTATCTACATTACAACTTCCCATTTGAACTCCTGATTTTCTTTTATTAAAAAAAACCTGCCACAAGTGCAATTATTCAAACAAGACAGAATGATGTTTTCACCAGCAGCACATAGCCTCCAGGTGATGACTTGGATCCAATCCCAATTTAATGCTAATATACAAAAAAAGTGAAGGCTTTTGATGAGCCAGTACAGATAACTTGCAATGCTGCATGATGCAACATGGGAAAAACTGAAAACGTACTCTGGATCTTTAGTAAAACCTTCACGACAAATATTTTAAAAAGCCAGGTATGCTCCTGCTACCCCACACTAATTTTTGCAACAGTATTGAAAAGGTTTCAGGAGACACTTGTTCTTATTAAACAAGAATAATATGCAAATTTTTCTGTCAAAGACAAAGGCTATAGCTCTCACTCTTCTCTCCTGAGACTTTGTCTGTTTACTTCTTATCTATCTGAATTGGTTTTTTCCAGAGCATAACTGATGGCTTTTTTATAGGTGTTATAGAATCATAGCATTTAATCTGAAAACCATTAGGCTTCTGTATGTATGAATGACTGAATTGTCTCCATCCATAAGTATCTCTTCCTTTGCATTTCTTAAATACAGTGTTTCCTTTCAAGTTATTCTGTGGACTGTTTCCTGCATTAGTATAATTTTTTTTTTCATTGTTAGCAAGTTTAAACAATACTTACATAAACAGGATGGAGATCAACTCCATACATTTCCAGGGATTTGGCCACGCCTAAGTAGTTTACTTCTGCCTCAGCAGGAACTTGACCCCTGTAAACAAAATCCTGTGTAAGAACTTTGCACTTCCAGTCAAAATATAAAAATCAATCATATTAATAAATACAGTTTGTTGGACACATACACAGACCTTCTTACCATTTTTTAGACTGTTACTTTGTCTTTTCAATAATCGACTTCTTGCTCCAAGTAAGACTAGATCTCTACTGGTCTCCTACCACAGACATATATGCTATCATATATACAATGTGTGCCTACTACAGTGTCTAATCTTTTCCCCGTAAACACACTTCAGATATTCTATTTTTAGGCTCCAATATGCCAAATAACTTTTTTCCCAATAACTATATGATTTTCACTGAAGCAGGAATGGTATGACTGACTGGGCTACTATTTCCCCATAGCAGTGCTGAAGCTACAGATGATTTCTGAAAGTAAGGTTCATGACTTCAGACAAAATATTCGTTTCTTCAAAAAACCTATAAAAAGTCACACCAAATGGCAATAGCCCAGCGTGCCACTTTGAAAACAAAGTTTGGCATTTGTCTCATGGGATTAGCAGCTTCAAAGATCCAGCCTGCCTTCCTATCTGCAGATATCGATCCCTCAGTTGAAAAGTACCATCAGCTGCATTCTGGTAGTAAACAACTGGGGGAAACTGGGAGGAAAAAAAAAAAACCAACAAAAAACAAAACAGCTACTAGGAACATATTTGACTTCACCTACAGAGTATTTATTTTCAAAAAGAACAAAATAACTAAATAAATTTAAAGCCTTATCCCCAGAATTTAATTTGTTCTTCCCTTAATATCTGCCATTGATAAAAGAGTAAGATTCTGGTTTGTAAGCTTGAAATAGCTGAAACTGCATTTTCATTTTCACTCCTTTTCAACACTTCTGTGAAAGCTGTTGGACTGTTATTGGGAAAGTACAGCATATCTTATATAAATATCAGCTCAAAAAGATGTATAACCAGCTTCACCCTGTGATTCTTTTCTTAGGGAAATATTTCACTGGATTTGCTACCTTTCAAGTCCAATGTGTGAAGCAGAGCTCAACATTTTGATTCAAGACTTGGAAAGGTCCTGTAATATGCACATTCCTGCTTCTTGTCTCCCCATTCTCTCTAGCCCAGCAGCTACTGTCCAGGTTTTCCCAACTTTGTGTTATGCCTGACAAGGTAAAACCCACATCCAACGTCAAAGACGTGAAATGGCATTGCTAAATGCAATAGTAGAAGTTTTCAAAATGCCTCCTTTGCATCTGAGAGATGGGCTGATCCAGCTCATCTTATCCCTGCTTCAGATGATAGCTCTTCTTTCCAAAGACTCCTGGAAATGCAGCAGATCTAAAGCTCATAAGAAAAATCCCTTTCTTCTAGAGCTGGATTTCCCAGTAGATGTGTAATTCATTGTCTGTATTCACAATACGTAGAACTCTGGATATTCAGCACATCAGTGATGTCACATCTGTCATATCTTTTATCAACTTTTGCTCTAAAAATTTAGTCCACAGCATGATTTTGTTCACTGGAGCAGTACTATCTCAGTGAGCTCCCAAGCAGACTAAATATCAGTCCTGAGAAAAGCAGATTACCCCATTACTGAGTTAGTGTTAGAATCCAGCACCAATTTAAATACTGAAGTTAACCTGTCCTTAGTGACCTTTCTCAGAAAAATGCTGATGCACTTATTCCTCTATTTTCATTTATCTCTGAAAGTATTAAAGGGCTGAAATGACAAATAAGTGTGTGTCTTTTTATAACATACCTACATGTTACAAACATAACATAATGTTTCATATTTGTATAAAAACCTGTATTTGCAAAAAATATTAAAGGAAGTAGAGATGTGAGCTGGAGCTTCTGAAGGAAGAAGATGGAAGCCTGAAGTCACTGCTTGATCCTCTACACGTGCATGATGACTTTGGGTCACCTCACACTGCTATTCGACCTTGGGATTGTCACGCTGGTTTATAGATGGGACAACAGTCACAGCAGGGAGGCTGCAGAGACTTGATGCAGTCAGAAACCCCCTCCACCCTCTGACTTCCCTCACCTTTCTTGATTTAGAAATTTCCTCAGAAAGCTGCATCCTTACTGAATCCCTGAATAGCTATTGTGCTGTGTAAAACAAAACTGAGAGAAAACACTCAATCAAAAATTGTTTTTCTGGACGTAACTAGCAGAAACAAGGTATGTGCTACATCTGTCCTGAAAAAACCAAACAAACAAGCCCTGTGTTTTTGTGCTGAGATCCAGAAAGAATAAAACAGTTCTTCCAAACCATATCACAAACCTGTCCCGGAAACATCTCCAATCAATGAGATAATTTGGGATGCCTTCAGCCATTACAGCTTCAAACTTCTTAACTAAAGAGATTGCTGTCACCTGTGCAGAAGTCAATGCTGGGAGCGCTGATGATAAAAATCAGGCTGAGCTAGTAGTGGGTATACCTCAATTTTACTCTGTTCTGTTGCTACTAATTCCCTGACACCTAACTGCAGTCAAGCAGCAAGAGAGTATCAGAGGCCTAAGTTAATAAGCATATAAAAACACTAGAGACTGTTATGACAGTTAACACTCCACAAGCACTGTTCCCCTGGCTTCTGAATTTCATCTTCAAGGTTACAAACCTTTTGAAGCAAATGGGTTTCAATAAGATTTACTGATGACTACACTAATGACTACAGAAGCTTTGGAGAGAGGAATAAAGGCTGCTTAGTATTGGTGGTCTGGTTCACAATAATTAACCTCAAGTTTCATTCTCACAAACAAATTCTGTGATGTTGAACCCAGCAAACTATCTGTGACTCAGTTTCCAACCTCTGGAACAGAAAAACCAATACTTTTTTACTTCACAGAAACATCCGTAGCAAGTTCTCCGAAATACATCAATTACTATAACGCTGTCATGCAACCTAACAGAAATACTTATTGAACAACAGACTCTCTTCCCTGGAAGAGAAAGCTCAGGTATTCTGGCAACTGTCACAGGCTGCAATTACTGGAGAACTTTTCAAAGAGAACAGCTGTGATCCTGAGTTAATACCTATTCTCATTAAACAAGACACAAATCACAGTAATAAACAATACTACAGGCAAAAATTACTTAACCTTTATCCAGACTGTGGCTTCATTACAGCAAGAGAATCAAGATATCTAGATTTACATACAAGATGGGTGATTATCTCTGCATTACTTTGACAAATGGTTTGATGAGCATATTCATAAAATGTTTCTTACTGCTCTCATATTAACAAATATATCACAATTGCACCTAACCTGGATTTGTTAGAACAAGCATCTTTACACTTACCATGAACATGAGCTTGGACATAAGCAAGTAAATGTTTATTTTGGCTTTATATATGGTTGAACTTCTGGCACATGTTTTACTAAAACTGCTGGTTCTGAAACACCCATACCTAGGTCTGACAGACCTCACATTTCCAGTTATTGTACTACCCAGTTCCTAAAAGAACAACTTCAGTTATATAAAACCTTTTCTGTTTCTGAAAAGCACAACTGGATGCCCTGTGCTCTTTCCTCAAGTCCAGAGATCTCCGCTCTGTACCACAAATTGTTCCTCCCCACCTACCAAGCATCTCTGAATCTGGCATTAACCGACAAGTTCCCAACAGTACTGAATTCTTACATCAGAGTTTTGTGTATTTGTTCTATGGCATCCTCCAGCTCTTCCTTCTGGTCTGGGACAAAGCGGTACTCTGAGACATAGCCTGCGGTGTGCTTGTACGGGTCATAGTCCCCCAGCTCAGCTGCAGGACACAAGAAGAAAACAAAGGTCACCTATTTTCAGTGTTTTATCTCAACCAGAAAATATGTCTGGGAGTGCAAATGGAGATAAATATCCTGAAACACTCAGAGGGAAGGTCTTCTAGCGGCATTGTTTCTTGTGAGGAATCACAAGGCTTCCTTTTTCAATAAAATATTGATGTATTTCCTAGATATTAAATTCACTTTCAAAATAAAAATAACTTTTTAAAGAATTTTCTTAAAGGAAAGAACATAATGAGTAGTCAATATAAATTTCTTTGAAACTATCCTGAATTTGTCATGTCTGTTCATATGCTGTAATTATAAAAAAAATATGCACCTTGGTCAGAACTCACATCTACTATCTTAACTATAATTGCATCTATCTGAGAAACTCTGCAAAAGTTAGTATTTGTATTTTTTAATAACTCTGAGTAACATCTGTAGACTGGGATTCTCTGAGAAAGACTTCACAGAAGGTTTCTATCCAATTCCCACTAAACCAAAAGCATAGCCAAAATAAGGCTTCAAGAGCCAAGAAGGAAAAGACTCATCTAATTAACGATGTTTCTTTCCAGAATGTTGGAATGACATTGTTAGAAAAAGCCCCTGATCCACTCCATAAGAATGCTGAGAAGTTTCTCTGGAAAACCACCATAAAAATATCATGGTTCTTGCCCACAGTAGGAATAAGAAGAGGAATTACTACAACATCAACAACTCCAGCACACTCAATAAGAAAACTGGTGTATTCAGCAAACTATGCCATGGATACTGATTTTTCCACCAACACCACTATAAAAGTCTGCAATCTTTGATCACAAAAGGAGGAAAACAACTCCTGTGTTAATGAACGGATCTGCTCAGAGGCCAAAGATGACACCCAGACACAACCTGAATGGTGAAAGCCAGGCCTGTGGCTGAAGCAGAACATATGGCTTCTTCTCCAGATCTCAGCAGCTGCTAGCTCCACTGGGAAATACACCACTGATAGCATTACACCAGCAGAGCTCCTCAGTTATTTCGAATTCCCACAAACACACTTAATCTCAGTTTGGAATAGAACATAAGCCTGGTCTAGCACATCACCCTTGAAAAAGCACCCTGGACCATGGTGTTGGTGCCTTGCATTTATATGTTTAGTATTTGACATATATTCAGTTCATATGTTCAGTATAGACATTTCTCAGGTGTCTTTCTATATTTGAGCAACTGCAAACCCTAAATAAAAGGATAAAGATTTTTATAGAGTCCATGGGAATGCACGCTTGCTGGTGCCTGGACTAACTTTAACCTACTGGACGTAACCTTTGCCATGCTTTAACTCTGCTCTTCCCATAAGCTTTCTCATTGTTTCTCAACAGAATATCTGAGATTAGAATCATAGGAACAGAATATTATACCAAAACTACAGCTCTAACCTACTTAAAATTGATTACAGGAGAAAAATGTATTCTTTTTATTCATTTCTCATAATACAATGAAGATATTACCATCATTGCATATTTTCCTGCTTCATATTTGCCATATTTTTTTAGGGAAATCTGTTCAGAATGGCCATCTATTTACAGTTCTTTAGATGAAATCAGTCACATTAGTTTTTTTCTGTTTTAAATTAAATTCATAAAGTGTTAATGATGTCTTCAGTCACCACTTAAAATTAGTCATAATGCATGATTAAAAGAAATAAGCTCTCAATTGGTCAGAAGAACTTACACTGAATTATATATGCTCCCAGCTGTGCTGCAGTGTTGATTGGACAAGGTAAACGGCCCTGTAAAACATCTTGCTTTACCTGCAAGAAAAACTGATACCTAAAACATAAAGAGAAAACAAAGTTGTTATTTTAAGCCTGATGCACCAAAAATATTTCGAAGTCACCCAGTCAACTGTAGACATACCATGTACCATAATTATGTGACAATAAAAATTTGTATTCCTCTATTAATGGGTTTTCCCACATTGACCTTGAAGTACCAACTAAGATTTATCTAGTGAAACAACCTAGGTAGAGGAGCACTCTGTAGTTTTCTCGTCTGCTTATATTGTGCAAATGCAAATAATTTTCCCCCTAATAATGTCATTTCACTCTTTTGGCTTTCATAGAGCAGTGAGGAAGTAGGGACGAGTACCATGATCAGAAAAATTGAACAAGAAACCTGTAAAAGGGCCAAAGTTTAACCTGACCAGTGGTTAACATAAAGGAGAACTGAGTATTGGATACTTCTTTACTCTAATATTTCCTCTCCACACACCAGAGTATCAGCTATAATGTAGCAAGCAGGTTTGATGGAGTCCATACCTCCATGTCCTTCTTGCAACAGAGATGGTAGGGGTAAAAATGTAATTTTCAAAGTCATAACCTGCTTCTACACTTGACAAAGCAAATACTGAGAGCACTTACAGTAAATAAATATGCATAAAGTAGAAAAGTAAAGACAAGGAAACAAGCCATCATACAAAGGATCTGCTTGGTTTTGCAACTCACCATAATAATTTACAGGAAATCTTTTAAACACTGTTTGAATTTTGTCCAGTTTTATGACAACAGATTTATGCAGTGCCTCACACCATCCTAAGTGAATGCCTTTCACTAGCTCCTACAAAACTAACAATATTGAGAAGGTAGCTTTTCGTAGAAAGAAAAGGATCATCCATACAAGCACATAGCTTTTTCATTATTCACTAGTTCAATGTTATCTACATAGAAGCCTTTAGCTACACTGCAAATAATTACTCTGTGTTGGTACAAGTTACTTACGAAAGCACCTTAGAATGATCTATAAGTTCAAAGTGCACCTACACTGCTTTCATGGAAGTTTACAAACTGCAGGTTACACACAGCTGACTCTCAAAACATTTAAGATCCAAGCAAATTTACTAGACTTTTCAGCCAGATGAGCCCCTGAACAAGGATGCCGATGTCTTTCTGATTAATGATCCTCCAGAATTCATGCTGTGACAGATAATAGGAATGTCCATCCTCTAAAAAATGGTTAATAATCTCCACCTTAAAGGAGCAGGGCACTGCATAAGAATTTTTTGGGAATGTCATTAGGCAACACAAAGCACGTAGTGTTTCTTCACTAAGTACTACTTCGAGCTTATGCTTGCAGTCCTACCTACACAAATCTTCTTTGTTTGAATTATGATAACGACAAAGAGGATTTTACACCTCCTGTGAAGTACACAAAATCTTCTTTTCAATATGAAATGCATTTCTTATATGCACCTGTATTTCTATTAGCACTTCTCCATCTCTACAAAACAGAGCTTTGTACCACATGATGCTACAAATTTATTTTCCTTGGAAAGGCACCTATATTTCTGCATTCTCATAGTGTAATCTCAAAATAAAACAGCATAGGAATCTCCAAAACAGCTACCTTCTTGTAAAAAGAGAGCCAACTTTAAGTGCTTAAGTGATTCCTATGAAGTGAACAATCTCAATTCCCACTGAAGCCACTAAGCTCCTCACAAAATTACGCCATTTGTCCAAACTCATAGCTAAAGCACTTTTGTCTTGTGTTCTGTCAAGTTTGTTATGCATATATTATAGTGCCTAAGTGTCAGTTTCTTCTAGCAAACACATCCAGCAAACACTGCAGTATGAGCTTTTGCCTACAAGGCAGACAGATTTTGATGCAAGCAATTATAGATTTGACAGGTTTTCATTATTTGCAGAGAGTAATCATGTAATGACACAGATCATTAACATCTAATAACAACAGAGTTCACTCTCATATTCTTTAAAGTAATAAATACATGCTTCAATTGGCTAGCACAAAATAGTTAACACATCACTGGAACTATACAGTTAGGCAGAAAATTATTAGCATAAATAAAAGTAGGGTCTTTAATGCCCCCTAAGTGAAGGACCTTTAAGGGTGCCTTCCAAGCCTAGTTATTCTAAACAGGTGGGGTTTTGTTGGTTTTTTTGGATGGTTGGTTTCCACTCCCCCGTCCTCTGGACAAAAAAAAGTACCTTCCTGCCAAGACTTAAGAGCCTACAGAAATAAATGCTCATAAATATTGAGGGTATTTGACTAATCAATGTGTTTTGTAGAAGACTGTCAATACAATATATCTGAAGCTCTCCCTCTGCATGATGTGTCAGTTCTGCATGACCATATACTGACATGAACAGAGGCTCCCTAATCACACTACAACATTTCTTGACTGGATTCACACATGTAATCAACAGTGCAGATCACTGACTGAAGATCACAGGGCAAAGAGAAACAATTTTTGAAAATTTAGCCCCCTGCCTCCACCCTGACCCCCGTGAGGAAATCACAACAGGTTCAGTGGCCAAAGCTCCCTTCCCAGGGCCATCTTTCCCTGGGAGCAGGATTTAAAGTACAAGAAAAGTACAAGAAAACTACAAGAAAAATGCATCAAAATTCCATGGTACAGGGGCATCCCACGGCCACCAACTTATGCTCTTTTACCTGTGAAGTCACAGCATTTATTATTTATACCAGGCCAGACTCAGCCTCTTTTATTGGAGACTTCCATTCCTTGTGCCAGTAAGGAAACAAAAGAATTTTCTCACTCCAGTATAGGAAAACTATTCTGCCTGTTCTGCAACAGCTGCCACCTTTGGTTAATGAAAATTAAAAACCTTGCATGCATTCTAATGAATTCTCATGTGTCATATTCTTACGACATCAAAAGAAATATTTTGGTATTTGTTAATGCAAGCCAGCACACTAATTTTGTCCGCCTACCTACCCAAACTCTCAAATTTCTTTTGAACCTAAAACTAATTGTCTGAGACATTTCATAAATAAACCAAACAGAAAACTCTGTGTGAGAGAGTTCAGATAACCATGTGTGTGCATGTGTCTGTGCATGCATGTGCATATGTTACTGTGTACATACTCATATTTTGTAGAGGCCAAGCTTAGGTAAAAGAATCAGAAGCATGTAACTCTTCAATTTCCTTCACATATTTTTAGAAAGACCAAAGAAATCTTCTTGAAAAACAGCTCAGGAATTTTTGCTATGGCCAATAAAGAAGAACATTCATTGTATTTACATTTGATATCCAAGTAAACTCTAAACTTGATTATAGCACAATATAAAAGCAGAAAAAAAAACCACCACCACCACAAATGTACATCAAGGCCTTTTGGTTTTTGATGCACTAGAGAACACCTTTTCTTCTTGGGCTTCCAAACAGTTGTCCATACCAACCACTGTGAATCTCATAGCAATTTTCTTTCTACACATCAAATGTTCAAGCAAAAACATTCGGATGTTCAAGCAAAAACATTCGGATGTTCAAGCAAAAAACAACAACCCAGACACACCACAACAATATGTACCTGGCTGAAATACATCACTAGTCTGAGAACAACAAACTATCCTTTCATTGAATACTATACCTTGTTATTTCTTCTTTAAGTTTACACGGATCCTCTGCATAAAATTTAATGCCAAAATACAGAGTGTATGGTGGTCCAGCTGAGTGAAAAAACATTTGGTATAAAAATTAGTTGTCATGAACTGTTATTGTTATGAACTGTTACTGGTTGACTACGAAACAGCTACTAAGAAGCTTATCTTAATATTTTATGAAACTTGAGAGTTTCAGAAAAAGTGTAATATCCACATAGCAAATCCATAGACCTATACTCATTACACGAGGGGAAAAAAAAAATTTTTACTATTATTTTTAGTCTTTTATTTATTCATATTTTGTCTGTCTGCTTGGAATTTTTGCTTATTTTGAATTTTTCACTTTAGTTTTCATTTCTAACTTACTATTTCTCCAAGATAATTTTTTTGCTGCTTGATTTTGACCTCTAAGTACTTCTTCCACTGAAGCTTTTTGAAAAATGTAATTGTGCATGAAATGTGATTCTCTGTCATAAGTTATAATATGGAATGCTGTTCCACACTTTCAAATATCTTACACAGTAACTTTAATTATGTGCCAATTCAATCAAATATTTGGAAAAGCTCTTCTACTTCACCTTTTAAAAATGCTCTTCTAAAAAACCCTGATAACTCAGTACCAAAATTCTCACAGCTACATTTATTCCACATGTGCCCCACTTCTACATCTTTTATTAAAGGGTCTCCAAATCATGTTCTTTAATTATAATACAAATAACAGATCTTGTATCTGCAATATCTGAAGACTATCAGTAATAGCAGACACTCTATTATCAGAAAGAGGCATTCTTTTTACTTTCACAAGCAAAAGTGAATCTATTTTAACTATGGTACACTAGACTATGACAGAGGTATCACAGCTACTATAAATTAATTATACAAATTAAGAATAGCACCACTTATTAGTCTAAAATAAAATTTAGGCATGCAGAAATGTTTAGACAAAAATTACACAAATTACTGTAAAATGATAGCATGTGCAACCTATGTGTGAAATTTTGATACAGTTAAGAACTGCAATAACAAACTTGTTCAAGAACTATCAATCTGCTGTGACTAGGAAATAAATATTGCACAGGCTGTATGGATAGAACATTGTCTCTGTTACTTCATCTTCAGATATGCCCCTTAAGTTCAGATACATACTGTTTATCAATTCTTTATGTTCAGCAAGCGTCTTTGCAGGATCCAGCCAGTACTGTGAGACAGATAATTACAAAAATTAATTACTCAACATGGAAAATGCTCCCCTCCAACTCAAAACATTCTACGATTCTATGACATCAAGTGTAAATAAATTTGCTGCACACTAAGCAAAGAAAAATTAATTTTTATTTTCAGAAATGGTTTCACAGAGCAGGGAGAGAAGATGTCTAGAAATTTGCACCAAGGTAGGGAGGGCACCGACTCTTCCACCAAAGTGTTTACAGCACTAGTTGGACAACTGTATCAAACTGACCAACGTATGCTTGGTGCACCACAGAGGGATGAGCTGTTACTTGGGTTCCCATAATGTTTGACAGACAATCTGCAGTATAATTTCTCACTGATTACTCTACCTCACCTTTATCAAACATCTAATAAAAGTCATCCTCGTGTTACTGCTGACCACAGACCAGTTGTGTACTTCACATTATGGTTACACAGGTCACCAGCATCCTGCTCTTGTAATCCCTCCAGCTACTTATTTCTTCCTTAGCTTGACATTTCTGTGATTCAGTTTTGGAACAAAGTGCAGAGGCAGTTGCCAAGACCATTCTTGTCTGTATTTTCTTCAGCTGTCATCCCTCATACACAAGCTTTTTGCATCAGCTCAGATTGGTGCCCCATCTTAAAACACGGCAATTGGAAAGGCTGAAGAACACAGCTCCTAGAGGGAGTCATTAAAGGCAAATTTAATCTACTCACTTAGTACCCACCCCTTTTTAGCTGAGGAACTACACGGGCCAACAAACACAAGAACTTCTTACCTGCACCCTTGAACTAATCTTATAGGGAATAAGAATAATGTGATTAATCTAAAAATCTCCCCCTTCTACCCAGAGAACTTCTCTGGTTTAAAAAAAAACAAAATTGTGATTAGAACGAATAAGTAGCAGAAAGAAGAGAAAACACTGTGAAGTATTTGAGTGGAAAATCACAAGCAACTAATTTAATAAGTGGCTATAAACAACTATCATTGTATCAGGCTCTAGAAAATATGTCTTACGAAGAGTGGCTGAGGGAGCTGTTGTTTCGTCCAGAAAAGCGGGGGCTCAGAGGGGACCTCATTACTCTCTACGACTACCTGAAAGGAGGTCAGTCCCTTCTGCCATGTCTCCAGTGAAAGGACAAGAGGAAATGGCCTTAAATTGCACTAGAGGAGGTTCACATTAGATACTAGAAAATATTTTTTCACTGACAGAGTGGTCAGGCATTGGAATAAGTTGCTCGGGGAGGTGGTGGAGTCACCATCCTTGGAAATGTTAAAGGGGTGTCTAGATGTGGCTCTTGGGCACATGGTTTATTGGTGATTATGGTGGTGCTGCACTGACAACGGGACTAGATGATCTTGAAGATCTCTTCCAACCTTGATGAATCTGTGTGATTCTGTGATTACTTCGACAGAACACAAAAACTAGTAACTTCCACTAGCTGCAGATCCATCTGCAACAGAAACAGCAGTATACCTTCCTCTTGATCATTGTTATTTCAAATCCTAGAATGTTTGTTAGGAAAATTTTCTGAATTTTGAATGAAAAAATTCTTCAGTACATGCGTATATCAAATACATCCAATAGCTATTCAAAAATGAACCCTCTTAACCTCAAGAGAAGGTGGGGAAGGGAAGAAGAAATGATCACACTTGTTCAAATATCCCATTAGTACTCCAAATCAGCAACAATCTAAGGTAGCACAATAGGCTGATACATAGATTTTACAGTCAACAGGTAGAATAAAGGCACAGTAAATCTGCAGTGCACATTCTGGGTATGCAATGTAGTTTGAATTTGGTCTGACCTCTCCTCAAAACTGGCATCACAAAATGAACAACATGCTGTGAGTATAACTTGCTTAAGTCTGATAACTCTGTGCTACACTGCAAGATATCAAAACTATCCTGGTTCAAAATCAGATCAAAATCCATCACAGAATAACTCCTTCATTAAGTTCTCCTGAATTGAACTAAAATTAAATTGGCTTCAAGATATATTGCCTCTTAGTCCTCTTTGCAGTTGAGCTTTATATGCATAGGTAGATTGATTATTTGTAAAAAAAATAAAAAATAAAAAAAATTAATATTAATGGATCAACACTCAAATTTGTAAGTGGAATACAGAACAGTTACAGATTTCTGGTTGTCTCTCTGCAATCTGAACTTCATTGCCTCTTGTTATCCATGTGATTCACTGACTGCCATGAGACAAACTAGGATTTGGCCAAGTAATCGAAGAGCATACGGACACATGGAGACAATGCAATCAAAACACATCACATCGGAACTTAATTCTCACTGGGTTGTACTTGACTGGCAGTAAAATTATATTCTTTGTGTGGTCTTCTGAAGGCAATTTCCAAGCTTGGGGGAGGGGGACAAAATTCAAAGGGAAAACTTCAGATTCAAAGGGCATCTGAGGAGAGGAGAGGGAAGAAATCTGTTTATTCATATCACTAAATATTTCCTTTCCTTCCCTCCAAACTGAGCAGACAGGAGCCTCTCATCCCTCATCCCTGTCAGATAGATTGCTGCTACGTATACTAGTAAAAATAAGTATCAGCTGCCATGAGAAAACACGTGGGTGCATGCAGGTGAGGCTAAACACTTCAGTATGGTGGGGAAGAGACAAGAATCTCATCTGCCTTTTCATTTCTCCAGTAAGTACTTAGCATCGTGGCAATGCTGCAAACCCACGCTTAAAATCACTGTGTAGTTATTTATTATTTCAAAGGCTGCCAAAATTTTCCTGAAGAATGCAAGGGGTGGGGGGAGGAGTGACAGATTTCTAACATTTTATTTGTAAGCCAAGGATGAATGGAATTTCATGGATAATGAAAAGGCATTTTTCAAGCCAAAGTCAGACAATAACGATGGGAACATTTAGAAATCCAAAAACCCCAACAACAGACCCCTCAGAGCATACATAGTAATGTGCATTAGATACTTGTTAAATGTTTGCATATACCTATAAATAGTTATGGGTATAGTTACACTTTCAAGCTCATACGCTAAAATGCCAATAGAAATGGAACAAAAAAGTCACTGTCTTATTAATTCAACACACTTGCAGAGCAGTTGCTGACAACAAACCCTACATTTGTGAATGCCAAAGCAGCTCTGATGCTCAGCCTTCACTCCTTTCATCTGCTTGGCATCCAGTGCGCCACTTCTCAGTGCTTTCCCACCTGTATCTCTGCTGCACAGACTTACAAATATCTCACCACTGTTGCAAGGAGATGGAGGATGCAGTATATACCCAAATAGCTGCACGAGTCAAATTTTGTGAATCTGAAAGAAGTATTTAACATATACAGAAGAAATGGAGAAAAAATAATAATTTTTAATAGCGTATATCAGTGCAACCATCCAATTATTAAAGTGATGGCTACTAGTTTACTAATTGTTCTTTACAAACACAATATAGTATTATTTTAATAATTTTTTATTTACTAAGACTAATTATAAAGGTACAATATAATTAAAAGAAATAATTCCCTTAAAATTTTTGGGTAGAAATGATTTTAAAAAAATGTTGAAGTACAGCATAAAGAATAAATGGGGTTTTCTGTCCTTTGTAGTTTTACAAATCTGGCTCCCATATAAGCCAGATGTGTAAGCAGTATGCATCCAAGCTCCATGCAGTATTTCATATTTAGTCCTTTTAAATGCCTGCAAACATTTTACCACAAATCTGGAATCTTTATTTTTTGTATCTACTTAGGGTTAAATTTGTGTCAAATTTCATTAACCTGTTTGAAACAAAATATTAACTAGGTTAAAATGTTTTCTGTGGTATCAAAAATGGTGCAGAAAAATCTGTCAACTTCAAACTAAATCCTGGACTGCCCCAATTAGAGCCTTACGAAGCCATACCCATCATACCATACATGTCAGGTTTTTCTCACATTTACAACAGCAAAAACCACAAGTTTGAAGAGAAAATGCATCATTTTTCAATTATAATCTGAAATTATCAAGATTTTTCTGCAACTTAAGACAACACTAACAATTAGAATTGTGTCAGGTTTTTTTCTACAAATGTTCAGTGCAAAGAACCTAAAGCTGCTAAGCTCAAGTTGTCCCTGTTATATAAGAAATGTAAAAATCTTCAGGCAATTCCTACATACAAATATGTATTTAACATCTCTGTCTTTTCTTTATTAGAATGTGAAGCTATATTGATTCTATTTAGTATCAGATCATCAATGTGAATATCCTATTCATCCTGCTGCACTCTAAAAGTGTACTCTTACTACCTATAAATCACTTGACCACCAGCTTTTTCCAGGTTGTTTTAATCCACTAACATTCTTCTAAAATTTCTTTCTTATAGTCAAAATCATCAGTCTCCACTTTCTTTCCACTGGTTTTGTCATCTAGTTTAAAAAGCACAACAAGTCTTTTTCTTCCTAGACAATTTAGTATACTGTGCTTGTGGACAAAGGTAAAATCCATACCAAAAAAAAACCCAAAAATCCGTTCAACAATACACAAGCTAAGTACAATTCAATTGTTTTACTAAGATCTTGAGGTCAGAATACGCAGTGCACTGTATGACAGTAGTTCCCTAGAGAAAAACATTTTTGATTGCAAACAAAATTTTGCTAAAATTATGCCCTTCTTTCCATAGCTAAGCTACATTACAGTCTGTTCAATCTACTCCCCTATGTAGTTTGGTACACTTCCTCATAGCAGGGGAAACAAAACACATCAACACTGCAGGGTGGGTGCATGGTATAGAGACAGGGCTTAACTTCAGTACAAATAAACACGGTGATACAGCTTTCTGTATTTGTATTTCTCCTCTTAGAGCCTAAGAGAGTATCAGTATGTTGTACATCGTCATTATAATAGTCAAATTAGCATTATTGGATAAGAAAAGAGGGATATTTTCATCACAGCCTGCTGTACAATTTCTTGTAAAAGATGCTCGAAAAGCCTGATTCTTTTGGGATTTGACATAGGAACACCTTTGGGCTTCAAAATTACCCTTTCCCTCATGAAATTCTGCTCAGCTTTTCATTGGATATTATGCATTTAAACTGTCATTTCCATTCTGTCTTTTGCATGCCTCAAGAAAATACTGGCCTCCTTCCAGAACAGTAACTAGCTTGACTGTCCTAAAGACCCCTGGTAATGCCATAAAGGTAATAGCAAAGGGATTATGTGAAGAACACCTGGGAGCTGCAGCACAGTAGGAACCAGGAGAGTGGCAGGATAAGTACATCACTGGACCAATGGTTTACCCAAATATCAAAATGCTGAGAGACTGTAAAGGGAAGAGTGTGGCCAGTAGGTCAAGCAAAGGGATCCCGCCCCTGTACTTGGCCCTAGTGAGGCACTTCCGGAGTGCTGTGTCCAGTTCTGGGCTCATCAAGACAAGAGAGACCAGAAGCTCTTGGAGAGGGTCCAGTGAAGGGTAACAACGATGATGAGGGGTCTGGAGTATCTCTCTGATTAGGAGAGATGTGGGAGCTGGGCCTTGTTAGTCTGGAGAAGACTGATGATAAAGCATGCTAAGAGACTCAGTGGCACTCAGAGAAAACTGGTCTTTCTTTTAAAGTATTTGCACCAAAAAAAAAGGTGCACTACATTAAAAAGCACCATGTAGTTTGTCAACAAAAGCACTAAGAGATTAGGAAACAGTACTGACAACTTACAGCACTAGTTGAATCCATCTGTGCATTTGGATGTAATTTTATATCACAGGATTTTTAATTATTTATTAAATGTTATATTTTATTTAATTATTAAATGACACTTTTTGCTGTTCCTTAGGAGTCCTGTGTTCTTCAGAGCCCAAGATAGATATAGTTTATCCTGTTCTGGTAGCAATTTGTAATCTCCCAGAGCTGGATTTTGCGAATTAAACACTCCTTTTACCATGGAGAGTTTGGGGAAAAACGGAATGTCAGTAAAGCAAAATTGGTGCAATATGATCACATTACTACCATAGAGAGAGGAACATCCAATTTATGCTTTATCCTACTGTTCATGGTCCTGCCAGTGCCACCCAGTTTTGTCAATTCCTTTGGTGCATCCAGCTATTCACACAGGCTAATTAGTTTGCTGGCTGTTCAGGAAGAGCCCATTTTAATGTTATGTATTCATACAGTACATAGCACAGTGAAACCTTGTTCACTGATCAGAGCCCTACTCACACGACTAAAATAATTATGAAACCACCCACATAAGAGGTAGCACACCAACACAGCTCTTAAAAGACCACCTGGAAGTGCTGAGGCATGCAAAAGTAATGGGGAAAATAACTAAACAAGTTCTTTCAAACCCTTAATAAGAAAAATGTTTCTTTTGTGACTGGTTTGTGCTCTTTAAATACATAGTTTTGCCTACCCTGCTTTATTCATCATTCAGTTAAATATATAGTGTGACCAAAAAAAATGACAGTGCAAATAGTAAAACATTCCCCGCCACAAGCAATGTATTAATAAATAGCCAAACCTCCAAACACTTTTCTCTCTCTGAGACTAACTCAGGAGCATGGTTTTAAAACTAATTAGCAAGGTAACCTTTTTCCTCTTCCCTTAGGAAATCTACTGTGGTCGATCCAAAAAATATCCAACCCAAAATTCAAATCTAGGCTTCTTGCCAGCCATTACAGGACTAATTCCCACAACAGTCCACCACAGTGAGCATGCAACTGAATATATGTTTACAGCTAAAGCACAAGGTGTGTTTGTCACTTGGAAACTTTCCATTTATATTGCCCATTCTTAAAAGTTTACAAGATTTCACTAAAAATAGCAAGCTAGCAACATTAAACCATACACCATAAAACACATAAAACTACACATAGTAGCACATTTTGACTCATTTATGAACTTGTTTCGAGGAAACAGAATCAGCTTTTACTTACTCATACACAGACAAACATGAGGAACTGGCATTTTCATAATATTTTGTTACAACATAATTCAGGTGTAAATGCAGCAGTACAAACTCGGCCACTCATTGTGGCAGCATCTACATGGCACGGCAGGTGCACTCTGTAAGGTGGCACACAGTTGTGGTCTCTGGTTGTACCTCCTGTATCCACACAACACAACTCGTGTTGGTGCAAGAGCAGGTGAATGACAGAAGTGGGATGAACGCCTTCCTAATCCAGGGGAAAATCAAGAAGCATGGTGTCTTCCTGACCTTGGGCTGGTCAGAGGACAAAGCCTGAAACTAACATTAAACTTACAGCATCACATTGCAGCATCACGTGAGAGAAAAAGTTAAAAAAAGGTTGCATGTGTATGTGGAGAAGCTGAGTTAATTGGGCTCTGGCCTACAGCCCATGCCTATCACCACAACACAAATACACTAATATCATACAATCAAAACATCCAGTCTGTTAGCAGGATGTGTCCTAAAATGTGCTTTTATGGTTTAGGTCTTTCAGGAAAGAGATGCTCTTATTTTCATAATGTCATATACACCATCAAATACATCCTGTGTATGCCTCTGGAAATATTCCCAGTAACTGCCATTTCTATTTTATTTGCCCCTATAGGAAAAAGGAAAACACTTTTGAGAGCAAAGAATACCTACCTGCTCTTCATTCACACCTCAGCTTCCCCAGGAAATCAAAAATACTGTTTTTAACAGTCTACCTTTAGTTCACAGCTTTCATCTCCATGGAATGAAACTTGGTTGGAAGCTTATCAAGGAAATGAATTCAGAAATGTCTAGACTGCAGCACAGAAGTTACAGTGACTGGGGCAGTCTGTAGCTCTCAGCAGCAATCAGTAATCTTCTGCTAATACTGTTCTGAATTCAGTCTCTACATGATCAGCTTCTGCTTAACAGAAGAAACTGGCAAATATTTAGCCAATTTATTACTGTGTTTAGATGAAACAGGGTCTTATGCAGTATTCTAATCACAGAACATTGGCTTCAAAGTGTAACTGCTTGATCTAATTCAACCATAGGCCAAGCATTACTCCCTTAATAAAATTAAGGGAATATGAAGACCACCCTGTGAATACAGCACCAGTCTCTCTTGCTGAGCATCCCTTGCTCCTCACCTCTGCCTGTAGTAACCCTGGACAAGCCATTTGGGGAGGTGGGGGCACTCCAGACAGTGCTGCCACAAGCCACTGTCTGCTTAGGCTGAAACATCTCAGCCTGGTTTCAATCTTCTTGTCTATTTAGGACTGTAATCTCCTGGTGGAAAAAGCCTCAGATATCTGGTGAGTCCCTACCAAGAAGGTTCTAGAGAATATAGGCTCAAGGACACAGAGATGGTTCAGGCAGAGAGAAAACATCATTGCCAAACACTCTGAAAGAGGCATCCAGCCAGTGTTCCAAGGGAAGCAGGCTGTTATGCGCTCAGGGACACAGCTTCCCAGACACTGCTGGGCAAAGTGAAGCTGGACAGAGTAAACCACCAAGCACTAGCTTCATGGTACAGTATTAAAGAGGAAAAAATATTAATCCTACTTTCATATAACAATTTTTTATTCTTTATACTTTCTTCACTTAGTTTTCAACACCATTCAGCATTTGACTGTGTTCCTATCTAAGATACTAGTGGCTATTCCAAGACTCCATTGCAAACAGAGAAATTATTACTGGATACCACAGACAAGAAATAGTGAAAGTTAGTGAAAGTATGACAATTCAAGCTTTACAGGCATTTATAGCACAACAGCGTAAATTTTATATGTGGAAAATCCAATTTGCTGTGTGTTTTACTCACCGTTTGATGACTTCGATCACAGTAGCGTAGTCCAAAGTAATCTATTTCCACCAGGTTTAAGTGACGAAATACGTAGCCCAGGACAACCGACCCTTTCGTTGACTTCTGTGGGAAAGAATTTACAGAGTCTATTCACAAAGATGCTCTGCTTTTGTCAGCTATGTGCAGTGGCATTCATGCATTTAATTAGCTTTGTTTAAAAAAAAAAAAGAGGCAGTTCGTAGTGCCTTTAACAAAAATTTCAGCAGTACAGATGGAAATATTTTGCCCTCATACATGTTTGAACAATAATTCTGTAAAATACTGTTAGGAAGCTGGCAAGTTAGTAGTTACACAGTACAAAAAGAACAAAAACCCCCAAACAAACTCTGACAATGGAGATAGGAGGCAAAACTGCCCTTAAGATCTAAGTTACGCATCATTAGCTGCTCTGTTACTAATCTTTGTAAAGAAGATTTAGTTTTATTTGCTTTACTTTTAAATATTTTTGATAGTAGAAGGGGGAGCAGTCTAGCACCCTGAATTGAAATAATCCTGCTGTTTCCCTGAATAGTACTTAATTAGGTGTCTATTACAGTATTTGCAGACAAAGCTGGGGACAATATTGCAAACAACATTGTCCTGTTGAGAATGCATTATAAAAAGCTGTCTTCCATGTGAGCGCCTCATATTTGTCAGTTTGCCTGGCAGCCAACAACACACAGATAGGAAGATGGAGAACAATTGCACAGAATGATCCCCCATCGGAATCAATTAGAGCCTTTGACTATTACAATCCTAAGTTCCACAAGAAAATATGGACATAACTCATAATTAGGTGTTGCTTAACTGCTTCATATTTTATAAACTACTAGACTGTAGTAAAATCACCAGAAGGATAGAAACAGGAAGAGGAAGTGGGATGTTGATTGCACTATGCCACTTTTTAGCCTACGAACAAATAATTTCAAAATTAAAACAGCAAGGAACACTGATTAAAAAATCCTTTAATTTAGCTTTGCTGGTAAAGTATCAATCACATAACAACTGTGAAGATCTATTCTTTTTTCTTTTCAGCAGGTGCATTTGGTCAGGCTTTATAACAATAGTCACAAGGGTAAGGCCAATTCGACAATTTCAGGTGGCCACTCACATTCAAAGCAAGCCATAACAAGGTGTATCTTACATCTCTGGTAATATGGGAATTGCATATCCATGCTATTTACCAGATTTACTATATATCTGCTTAAACCAGGAGATGTTCTGGAAAGGTTCTCAGTGTCTAAATCCATCATACTGGTTATTTACACTAAGCAACTGCAATTACATATTCCTTCAGCATGTACAGTAAGCCTTAATGATCAGCCACAAAACAGAGAGCTATCTGGGGAAAAAATATGATTAAGGTAAGCAGAAATTCACTAAATCTCATTTTAGCATGTTGGATAAAGCAGAGCAACACAATGATTTTATCATCAGATTCCTCAACAGGAAACTGAACGTGGATTGTCAGAACAAAGTAAGACGAGAATCAGCTGTAAAGTGACTATTAGGAGCACTGTAGCAAAAAGACAGAACATAGTAAAACACATCTTAAAAATACAAAAAATGCAAGCAATAATTGTACTGCCTTGTCTTATTTTTAAATCAGTTGTTATTCAAAGAAGCAGAGGAGGTACCCCACTAAGAAGGACATAGTTATCATTCATACGCTGGACTCAATGATCCTGATGGGGCCCTTCCAACTCAACATATTCTATGATTCTGTGTCACATAAGGCAAATTACCTTTGCCATTATAACTGTTTCCATTTTCATTTAAACAGTACAACAATGTCTTGGGAACCTAGAATTAGACAGGCACAGGTGAAGCTCTTATTTTGAGCCCTGACTCCTAACATCGCGTGTGGATAAAGGATGGCAACACTTTCCACTAGGCACTAAACATTAAGAGAATATTTTAGACAAAAGGAATTCTACGATCAGCCACTTAGAGTCAGTGGGTTTTGACATGGTTAACCACAGTGTGGACAGTAAATCCTATCAGGAGGTATAGAAAGGATTACCTGCACCATGATTTACAGGAGACATGGAGTGGGGCCCATGCAAACCTTGCTGAGCTTCAAATCTGTTTGCTTTCAAGGAGCTTTCCACTCCTTGTCTGACTAGCAGCATTATTCATAGCGTCAGTTGGTTTTATTAGCAGTTCTAAGAAACACTAATCAAACCACAAAGATTAAGTAGTCAATTTCCCATTCAGGCATCTTACAATAACAATACACACTCCTGCAATCAAAGAAGCTTAAGCCTTACAGGACTTCAACTTATATGACTCTGCACCGGCTTAGAATACAGCTACTCTTTTGGGCTGCAAGTCTTCTGCTTCAGTCAGCTGAGAACTGCAGTACTACATACTCTTTCTACATAAAACTTTTGGGACACTTCTGTGGACACTAAAGCTAGTGTGTTATCCCCAAGAAACATACACATTTCAAACCTGATTTGGTTCAAATTTAAGCCTCCTCTCTTTACCTTCAGAGATAAAAGGCTTTTTTAACTGCTTTTTACATCTATTGCTAGGCACAAATGCCTGCCAATTTATTTTCTTGTCCCAGCTCACTTAACACTTCCATAGTGGCAGGTCCTGTGGAAACAGCTGTGAGGAAATGCTGAGCAAAACCATCCAACTTAAAATGGCTGAGGTTTCTCCACCTCTACAACAGCAAGATGCTCAGTGCTTTGGTTATCCTCAGCCAAAACTGACTGTGGGCTGTAGTCTCCACGTCCCTCTTCGCCAGTGCCTTTCACGTCTTTCAGCAATGCCTGTGTGTGCACAAGGCAGTCCTTTGCAAGGGAACAGCCAGGATGTGAGCCAGGCCCTATCCTCACATCCTTCTAACCTCACCTTCCATAACCTCATATTTTCCCAGCACTGAAGAGCACTCTTCAGATAAAACACTGACCCTTGGAGAAACCACTGCAACCTCATTTTTAATTCAAGTTCTCACTTTAAGCCACATGATTTCAGGGTTTCATGCCCCTAATTTGCTTCTTCAAGAGGAGTCAAGAAAGTAGTTTTGCTGATGAATCCCTAAGTGACTACTTCTTAGTCCTGAAATACATTTTTACCACATTTGTAGAAAGTTTTGCCAACTAAGAAAATTCATTTATTTCCCCTGATAAAATTACAGCAAAATTCAAACTAAAGCTATCAAAGATGTTAACAGGATTACATATGGCATTACAAAGATCGCATAATCTGCCTTTCATTAAGCTCAGTCTTGCTAAAGGCTTGCATTCTTAGGGATAAACCCAAGTACATTTGAAAATATCATCAGCAATGCTTTCAAGAGAGAACAAAGAATTGTTTGAATGAGTCATAATATCTTTCTTTACATGTTAGCATTGCGGCTTCATAAACCAGAAAGGCAGGTTTCTACTGGCTAAAGAAAATCACAGGGAGAACACTCAGGAGAGGGCTGATTCAATTGCACTTTTCTTACTCAAATAGTGCTTTTTAAAACAGTATATACAGTACTACATTTCAACATAATCATATTACAGTATATTTGTACATAGAAATTCTTATCTTTCACACTGCTCATTGGTTTTTAGCTCTAGTGAGGTTTTTCTAGTTGGATATTTTTTATTTTCACTCTTGTGTTCTACAGTGCAGTGGAAGTCAAATGAGAACCATGGTTGATGTTAACCGAATTTAAACACAAAATGTCTGCCTCAGTAGGATGGTAGTCCCTCCCTCAAAGGAAAAGTGCTAGAGGTAGTGAAGCCTCTTTTTATTAGACTAGAATAACACATTGCCTCTTTTAGTTCAAGAAGCCATCCTGAAACATTTCTCCTCAAAGTAATTCAATCCACAGACTCTATCTCTTAGAACCTCATAAAAGCTAAGGAACATGCAGATGAATTTACAAGCCTTCTTTCAAGAAAAGGACTTAGAACTTTAGTTGAACATAACCTTCAACTTTCTGAGATACCTTCCCCCATCAGAGAGTCACACCTGAATGCTGAAGTTGTTATTCTGCTTATACAGTGGCAAGAGATAACACAGAAGAAGAGTGGAAGTTTCTAAAGCTAAACAAGGGAGTTTCTAACAGAGTATGGAAAAACAAGGAAGCTGTTATGGGGGATGATACACAACCATGCTGAGCCGTTCAGACACAGCTGTCTAACATCTCCTGTGAAGGACAGGGTTGTGTGGGTTATGGTGCTAACAAGCCCTCCAAGTGGGAAGTACATTTGATCTTTGCCTATTCTACCACCTTACCTCAAGCTCAGAAAAGGCTAGTCACCACCACAGTTTTTCACCACCTCCTGCTGACAAAAGCAGCAATGCACAGAGCTCTGAAATCAAAGTTCTTGGTGTTTTTTAACAACACAGAATAAGGACCCCTTTCCCCCAAGGCAGTCAACCACCTAATTTGCATAACACATGTTCAAGCAGAGAAAAATCTTTAAATTAAAAATGCTAAAAATGTACAAAATATTTAACTAGATTAAACAGCTTGACCTTAATTTCCAGAATGCATGTCCAAGCAGAGAAGAATTTACATTAATGTTATTTTATATGTGTAGGCGTTCCCCAACACAATCATGTAACAGAGGTAAATACTTTCAGGAACTGAGGATTTAAAAAATGCAAATGTAATTTGCACACAGGCTGTCCTAAGTATACACCATTCAAATGAACCATCCAAACTGTACTAATCCATCCCTGCCTCTCTCCTCATCTTTTACTGACAACAGACACGCCAACCTGTTTTCAGAGATTTTTTGTCTGAGAACTCCTTGGAAATTTATGTACACATGCACAGACCTCCACATCCCTGTTCTGTTCTACCTGCTGGATATAACATATGACACTGAATTCTAAGTGCTGGATATTAAGATACCTGTAGACTAGTTCTATTTTCACTAATAGTCAATCTAATACATTCCAGTAAGAAAACACTATTCTAGAAAAATATCTAAATACCTAGAATATCTATATTTTTTTGGTTTGTAATTATTGTATCTATCACAAATTTATCTAGTTAGGGGCCAACTCCTTAAGAGAGGGATAGATTTCTAGGAGCACGGCCTCCGGACAGTTAAACATCTCCCTTTGTA